AACACCACAGACCCTGCTGGCACTAAAGCCTATAACTTCTGCATTTCTCAATTTCTTATTCAAATAGTTAGCTTTGTGACTTGTTTTCCTGACAATCCTAATCATTTACCTTCACTCCTTGATTTATTTCTTGTCTCTGATCCTTGCTTGTCTTCAATATCTCCTTTTTCTTCCTTAGGTGGTTCTGACCATGCATTGATTTCTTTAATTCTTTCATCTTGTACTTCTCTTTCGGACTCACCCTATCATTGCACTTTTTACTGTTACCCTAAAGCTGACTGTGATTCTTTTTCGTGACTTTCTTTGTGACGGTCCTTGGCTTGATGTTTTTTCTCTCTCAACTGATAAATACACCTCTTATATCTCCTCCTAGATTTAGGCAGGAATGGATGCTTTTATTCTTTCTTGTTGGTTTCAAATTAAGTCTCTTACTACAAAAGTCTCTTACTACTCCATGAATTTCACCTTCTTATACCAGGTTCGATGACATGGGTTTCAAAGTGGGGGGGGGGTCACAATCGTTAATTCTTAAAAAAAGTCTTCTATATCTAGAATTTACTTATAAAAAAAAAAAAAGGAAAAAAAAAGATACTTTTGAAAAAATCTACCTGTGGCCCCCCGGTGTCATCAGCCCTGTATACAGCTGCTATATCTAATCATAATCATTTTTTTAATTCTTTTTGATGAACACCTCTCTTGAGAACAAACAGCTATTAATTATTGCAAGAAATTGATGTAAAAAGGTACTGTAAAAAGATGCTAAGCTCCATTATTCTCAGTTCACTAAATCTTAGAACTTATCTCAGAAGTTAGGCTCTAGAGACTTTTCAAAAATCTTTAACAGCGTCATCAACAAGGGTGTGTCTAACAATTCATCTCTCATTCATGGGACTGATCTCAATTCCTCTCCCAAAGATAAGGCAGAACTATTTGCAAAGAACTTTTCTTCTAATTCGATCCTCAAATCTTATGGCCATTCTCTTTCTTCCATTCCAATTAAACAGCTTAACCTATTGTAGCCATTAAAATCACTCCAGCTTCCGTTACTAAAGTCATATCTCAATTAAGTTCTTCTATGGCTTGTGGTCCAGACAACATCCTTGTCATAGTCTCACAAAATTGCTCTCCAGAACTCTCTTCAATTCTTTTTTAAGTATTTAATAAGTACCTGACTATGAAATCTGTTGTTCCAATTTTTAAAAACTCAAGTAAACATTCTGACCCCTCCAATTATCATCCGATCAGTCTTCTTTCTGTTTTTAGAAAGGTCTTTGAGTCTTTGATCAACTATTTTTCACATCTCATCTACTTACTGTCAGACAATTAATAGGGTTTTTGATCCTCTTGCTCTACGGCTGACTATTGCTCTTGACGTATCTAAAACTTTTGACAAAGTTTGGCATGCTGGTCTTCTCCATAAGCTTATTTCATATGGCGTATCTAGAAAAGTTTTTGAAATTATCAAATCGTTTCTTTCTAACCGCTTTATTAAATTCATTCTCAAAGGCCAACACAATTCTTCATTTTCAGTAACTTCTAGGGTACCTCTAGGTTCTATCCTTGGTCTTGTTTTGTTTCTTATCTATATTAATGATCTTCCTGATAACCTTACATCTAAAGTAGCACTTTTTGCTGATGATTCAACTCTATACTTTTGTCTTGACAAAAAGTCTTCTCTTTTTGATCGCTTAGAATAGGCATCTTGAATCTGATCTCACTTCTGTAACAGATTAGCGCTAATAGGCTTGTAAATTTCAACTCCAATTAAACTCAGTTGTTAACTGCAAATAACTATCGCAGTACTGTCAACATCCCTATGTTAATGAATGGCAACCCTCTCACTGAGTCCTCTTCTTTACATCTTCTTAGATTATTGTTTACTACTGACCTATGATGGAAACCATATATTCAATTGATTGAAGGTTAAAAGAGTTTAGGTTGCTTTTCTTTATCGTGCAAATCTCTTATTCTTCTCTGTATGGAATACTTTTGTTATGTTTAGGCTGGTTCTTCTAATGATGCTCTTTCTCTTTAAGACAAGGTCCAAAAACGCATTGTGAACATTGTTAGATTCGCTGTATATTGAAGCTTGCGACTCTTTCCCATTGTATCTCTTTTTCTTTTCTACAAATACTATCATGGACACTGTTCATAGGAGCTATCATCTCTTGTTTTGTCAATTAAAACTCGTTCTCATTTCACTTGTCATTTTGCAAAGTCTTATTTGTTTACTGTATCTGTCCCTGCATGCTCTAAAAATTTTTATTCTTCTAGTTTTTTTCCCCCACCTTAACTCTTCAGAACTCTCTCCCATCTTTATGTTTTCCTGACTCATACAACCTTCAACTTTTCAAGTCTTCTGTCAACCGTTTCCTTGCTCTATAACTCTATTCTTCTTTTCTAGTAACTCCTAACCTAATAGTGGTTGCTTACAGCCTTGTTATAAATGAATCTGAATTAAAAAAAATAATAATATTTTGTGCTTTGATTAGTAATTCAAGTTTAAAAAAAAGGCTTTTAAACAGTTCTTTCTAAAAACAGAAAAAAAAAAAAAATAATGCTATTAAATCATTCCATTGCAATGGATATATATAAATATAGTTTGACTCATTCATAATTAAAGTAACTTAAAAAAATAGTATTTAAAAAAAATTTTAGACATGGTCAAAATGTTCAGAAAAAAATTATAGTCAAAATGTACAGAAAAAAATTATAAGCGTGGTTAGTTACAGGGTATGATCGCAGTCATTCCTATCTAAGCCTGTATGTATATGTATATGTATGTATATATACACATATATATATATATATATATATATATATATATATATATATATATATATATATATATATATATATATATATATATATATATATATATATATATATATATATATATATATATACACACACACACACACATATATATATACACACATATATATATATATATATATACACACACATATATATATATAGAACCTTACTTTTTTTTTTTTGGTTCCTCTTTGGATTCTAAATTTATGACGGATCCTAATATTGTTGAAATTTTTTTTCTTTTAAACTATATCAACCTGGTACTCAAAAGAAGCAGAATAATACGCTTATTTTGAATATAATATTTGTTTTAACTTAAAACTAAAGAGAAAAAAATAATGTTGTTTTTTTCATTAAAAAACCCCTGTCTTCATCAAAATGGGGGTTATAAGGTATATTTTTGCAAATATTTTTTTCACTAAAAATTTTTTTTAATAAAATTATTATTGATAAAACAAGCACTTTTTTCTGCTTTTTTTGAGTCCAAGCTTGATATAGTTTAGAAAAAAAAAAATTCAAAAATATTAGGATCCGTCAAGGATTTAGAATCCAAAGAGGAACCTCAAGATCTCATCAAAATCAAAAAATATTTTTTTACTTTCATCTTATAATTAATAGACATCGATTCGTGTCTCAGGAATATTAATTTTTAAACTTTTTTTTTTTTTGCTATGAAAATGGATCCACCCTAATATATATATATATCGTCGGGGATAGTGCAAAACCGCATAACTAGCTTTTTATAATACCGCGTTTCTACAGTACATTTTTTTCACTGGAGAAGTTTAAAACTTTATTTATTTTTTATTTTAACTGATTTTGGGTTCATATTAGTAAAAAGAGTATATATATTTTTTTAATTATTCACCTCCCCAAGGCCCGAGGGGTCCAATACAGTCGAGGAGGCTGCTAATTTTTTTTTTTTTTTTTTTTTTTTTTTTTTTTTGTAAATCGTGGTACAACCCTTTCTCAACTCTTTAACTCCAAAACAAGGCCGCTGCGCGGAGAAATTAATTTGAGCGCAGTACTTCCAGGGACATGGTGGGAGTCGAACTCCGAACTTCTCGCTTATAAAGCGAGCACTCTTACCACTACCCCATAACCGTATTATTCATGTTTTTTGTAATCTCAACAATAAATATTTGGTGTTAAAATTGATAATATCCAAATATAGTAGCCAATGCTAGTTACGCGGATTTGCACTATCCCCGACGATATATATATATATATATATATATATATATATATATATATATATATATATATATATATATATATATATATATATATATATATATATGTATATATATATATATATATATATATATATATATATATATATGTATGTATATATATATATATATATATATATATATATATATATATATATATATATATATATATATATATATATATATATATATATATATATATATATATATATATATATATATGTATATAGGCCAATGAAGAACTATGGGTAAACATAGGTGAAAAATACAAAATTCTTAACAAATAAAATGTAAGTTTAGGTAAAGCTACAGTTTAGCGCTCAAAAATAATTTTATTTTTTCACTTGTTGCACTCTCGTTAATGGAGACATTAAAAATTTTAATTGAAATAATAAAAGGAAAAAGATTGCTGCCCTATGCCAAATTCTCAGTCAATGTGGCAGCACTTCCTTGTAGAAGCAGGCTAAAAGATAGTCAATGTAGCAATACTCCCTTGTAGCAGCAGGCTATAATATAATGGATGTAGTAGCACTTCTTTGTAACAGCAGGCTATTAGATAATGGATGAAGCAGCTCTCACTTGTAGCAGCAGGCTATAAGATAGTTGATGTATGTACTAAAATCAATAATAAACTTCTTTATGTTTATATTAAAAAGTCTCCACATGATAGCGCAACAAGCAATAAAATAAAATTATTTTAGGCCACATATTTGTAGCTTTGCCTAATTTTATTTGCAGTAAATGTAATTAAATCACTTATGTAAAGATTTCTAAAAGTTTAAGAATATTGAGTTGCTATCCAGTTATGGGCAACAAACAAACAACTTTTTTAAAGCTCTTTTATCATCAAAAATGTTACGTCCAATGTCTGGCGCTTATTTCGAGCTCTGTATATAAAAAAATCTTCTACCTCCTAATTGTTTTTAATACAAAAACTCTAAAATTTTGAAAATTTTCTGAAAAAAAGTATTTTAAGGTGTTGCTTAAGACCTTTAAACATCGAGTGAGTTCCTAATATTATTGAAAAAAAATTCTTCAAAAGTATGTCAATCTGGTACTCAAAAGAAGCAAAATTAATAATAAAAAATAATAAAAATATTGAAAAAAATTCTTGTTCTACAGTTTTTTGCATTAAAAAAAAAAATCAATTGCAACAAGTTTTTTTAATAATAGTTTAATTTATTTTATTAAATTAATTACTATTTTTAAATTTTTTATTAATTTTGCTTCTTTTGAGTATCAGCTTGACAAACTTTTGAAGAACTATTTAATTTAGAAAGTACAGTATTTAATATATATACTGTATTTTTTGTGAAGGGAAACGTGTTTCGGCTACAAAGCAAACCGAAATCAATAGTCAGATTGTTCAAGTTTTCAGTCGAAACCATAAAAGTTCAATTGATAATATCAAATATTTTTATTAAACTCTTGAAAAAAATTTTGGTATTAGTATTTTTCTATTTTCCAAAACATTTGGTACATAATAAATAAATGACCCTTTATTGAATTCGGAAAATGAAGTCCAAGTACATCCATTACACAGTTTTTATATTAATGGTGAAAGAGATTTTCTGAGAAGCAAAAGAGATTTAAGAACTTTAGAAAGAGATCTCAAATAGAGATTTTCTGAGAGAAAGATCCCTAAGACTGAGGAGGCCGCTACTGTCAAAGAGGCTATTGGATTTTTTTCATGTTGTTATAAGCCTTGAGGGATGCTAATAACTTCAATTAAAAAAATCCTCTTAAACACAAGCCTTAACAAACAAAGCTGCTTTTCAAAGAAACAAATTAAACATGGTAATACCAGGTATGTGGTGGGAATCAAACTTATAATTCTGTTCTACGATAGCACCACTACCACATAAATGTATTATTTATTATTTTGATCCTTTTTTTAATCTATTATTTATTAATTCTTTTTTTTTAATGTTAAAAATGCCTTACATAATATTGAAAACATGAATATATAAAAAAGTTTTTAGGCAAAGTAGAACAATAGTGTTATGCTTAAACTTGAATAATTTTCTTTTTTCAATTTTTAATTAGGTTTGGGATCGTCTTCCTAAACTAAAAGCCATTGTTCAATATACTGGTGAACTAAAAGAAAAAAAACCAAATTTATACACTGTGAGTAATGTTGTAATTTCTATTATTTATTGCATTGCAGTAGATGCTAAGGTCATCAATTAAAAATGCATTTAATTTTTTTTGTTTTTTGTTTTTAAAGTGGAATGAACTAATGGAGATTGGTCGTGGTATAAGTGATTCAGTACTTGAGCAACGCATAAATGCACAATCTCCAAATAAATGTTGTACACTTATATACACTGTAAGTTTTTTAGTCAAAAAATTCATTAGTTATGAATGTTTTTGATGGATTTTAAGATTTTTGTTTTACCAATCATTACTTTAAAAAAACTTTGATTTAAGTCTGGAACAACTGGAAATCCTAAAGGTGTTATGCTTTCTCATGATAATGTAAGCTTTACTTTGTTGATATTTAATAAATATTTTATTTTTTTATATTAAAAAATTTAACACTATTTTACTTTTTATTACCATTTTTCAAACTTTTTTTGACTTGTCTAAAAAAAAATGTATTTTATATATATATATATATATATTATATATATATATATATATATATATATATATATATATATATATATATATATATATATATATATATATACGTATTAGTGCTTGCATATATTCTCGCAAGAGTGCTCGATGAATTAAAGTGAATTAAAATGATTAAAATTAAAATTAAAACAGAGCTGTTTTTATATATATTATTTATAAATAAAACTGCATATTTTTCACAACTATTAGTTTCATGCTAAATGCAATCATCAGGTGTAAATATGTTTTTTTTCTCGTAAAAATAATAAATCTGTACAAAAGAAAATGAGTTAAAAAATCTAATCTTTTGGTTTGTGGTTGTCCAGCAAAAACTTTTTCTCATGGCGACATTTAGATATTAGTTAGTTTTTTTTTGTTTAATAATTCTTGAGGATTTTTATACAATAAAATAATTAGTTTTTTGTATAAGCATAACAAGCATTTTTTGGTTATGTTGTTGTACGCGGGGGCATATTTTATGATGGACCATTTTAAATTGGGTGTTGTTTTTGTTTTATTTTGTGTATCCCATATATATTTAGAAAGCGTGGTTGCATTTGTGAGTTTTTTATTTTCGATTGCTTGTGATTCGCCTATCTAGTTTTCCACATGCCCTCTGTTGAACCAATGTATGTTTTGTCGGATGTGTTTGGGAATGATGCAATGCACTTATAAATTACATTTGTTTTTCTGCAATTTCCATTCATAGGGCAGATTTTGCTTAGTTTACAATTGCAAGCTAAAGTGGCCGTTGGGTTCATCAAAGTAATTTTATTGTTGTGGTTCTTTATAATTTTTGCTATGTTGCTTGTACAGCTGTAGCTGACTTTTCTTGTGTTACGGTTAAATAGTTTATGAAGCGGATTTGGTTTTGGAAAGTGTTTGTCGATTAATTGTAAGAAGGTTTTGCCTATATTTGTGAGAACGTTTTTATTGTATGGTGGGTTAAACCAGATTATATTTCTTTTTCTTTTACGATTGGGGGTTACTTTGGTATCAATTTTAGGGTTGTATTTGAAGCTAAAATCTTTGAACCCATTTCTATTTAGGGCTTCGTCATATTCTTCCCTTGCCGAGTTGAATATTTTTTCGTCAGAAGAATTCTGGGATAACCTATCGTTGATAGCAATCGGAATTTGTTTAATAATTTGTGAGGGGTGGTTGGACTCAGGGTGGATGTAAAGTAGGTTGCTATTTGGTTTTTTGAAAGGATGATATGAGTCTTTTTCAAGGTTAAATGTAACATCTAAGAAGTAAGCGATTGTTAGGTTTGTCGTAATTTCTATTTGGAAGCCGATTTTTTTTTAAATTTTTATAATATTTTTTCGGATTCTATCTATCTGTGTGGCAGATTTTTGACGCATTATTATCAGTTCATCGTCCCGGTAAAGGCCCATATCGCTGCTGGTAACAATTTCAGATAATGAATATAATATATACAGACCAACCAGCTCACAAACCTCGGCTCCATCGTAACAACCCATTGTGACGTTGAAGCAGTCGTTAGTTGACTTTTTTTTCCAAGTTTCGTTGTTGAAAAATAACAAAGATTTTCTGCAATGGATAATTTTTCTGATTTCTTCTTCGCAAATATATATATATATATATATATATATATATATATATATATATATATATATATATATATATATATGATATATATATATATATATATATATATATATATATATATATATATATATATATATATATATATATATATATATATATATATATATATATATATATATATATGTACAGGGGTTAAAGTAGGGGGGAAAGCCGTTCCTCCTTACCTGACAAATAACAGAATCGTTCCACTTCTCTTTTTTTTTTTTTCAACTGTTTCACTGTCGCGTTTTTATGTTTGTTTTTTTTTCGTCCATAAATTATGCAAAACTTACTTTATATTAATAATTTATATTAATAAAAGTAGTAAAATAATTTAATTTTTATGCTGGAATTTTTATTGAAGTTGAACAGCTCTTGTAATTTTTAATTTAATATTTTAAACTATTAAATTATCAAATTGACTATTAACTAACAAAAGAAAAATCTAAAATAGAAAAATTGACTTTGCAAGAGAAAACTTTTATTTAATGACATTAATTAAAGTTCTTTGTGTCATAGAGAATTGAAATTTTGCATCTTGAAATTTTCATACTTTTTGAAATTTGGACTTGAGAAATTCTGGTTTACCAATAAGAATAAAAAAAATCGGGGTGCTTAAAGTTTTTTTGGTAATACTTTTTTGTCTAATAACTGTTTGTCTCTTATGTTCAGGCAATTCTGCAGAAATTGCATGTCTATTGTATTAATCGGCATAAATTTTTGGATTCCTATTTATCAGAGAATTTTCTTTTGCAGTGGCAGTGCCTCCATTATGACTCTATCAAAACATGGTGTTTTCAAATATTTGTAGTAAATGTTTTCATGGCTAGTTTGATGTTATTGCTTGAATAATTGTTTTGTTCTGGCTGTAAGTGATGCAGTTATAGTATGCATTGCCCGCAAGTAAAGTAATTGTAAGCAATTAACTATTTCAAGTGCTTTATTGATACTCTTTCTGCTTTGTATATCACTCAGTCTTCAAAAAATAAGAGAGAGCTTTCTGCAGCAGCAGTTGAGATAAAAGTTTGACTTCTTAATATTAGGCAAGTTTTAAGTGCACTGTGAATTGCCTCATCATTTTAAGTTATATATGCCATTTTCGGCAACTTTAAAGCCTCTAATTTGCATTTCATAAATGCTTCAACACTAGGCGAAGGAGAAGAAGAAAGCTAAATTTAACCCCTGTATATGTGTGTGTGTATATATATATATATATATATATATATATATATATATATATATATATATATATATATATATATATATATATATATATATATATATATATATACATTATATATATTACTATTTATTTTTACAAATTGGGAGTCTTTTTTGGAGCACAGCATCCCTGCTCTCACACATATATGCGTGTGTATATATAAACTATATATATATATATATATATATATATATATATATATATATATATATATATATATATATATATATATATATATATATATATATATATATATATATATATATATATATATATATATATATATATATATAGTTTATTTTGGACATAGATAGATAAATTAATCTTTTTATGTCCAAAATAAACTTCTTTATTACAGCTGTACAGACTTTCAGCATACGAACAATCAATTTACGAAGTGTTTTAAGTTGTATTACATTCCATTTCACTTGCTAAATTTATAGATGGCTGCTCTTCTTGTACATTTTTTTGAGCTCTTTTTTTTTTAGTTATTTATTTCTTTTACCCATTTTAAACCATTAAGTATAAATTTTAATATGAAAAAGCAACTAATAAAAATAAAAAATTCTTAAAATATTAAAAAATATTACCTATTAAAATAATATTAATTGTAACCAAAGTAAAGATAACAAAAACACAATTTTATCAAAGAAGTTTTGATTTTGACTAACTGAGATACTCTAATTGAATAATCATTTTTATTTTTTAAATAAACAAGATTGATTTTATAAATAAACAAATATACTCTAGCAATAGCTATTGTTTATTGAAATATGCTGAAGTAGTCTAAATTTTTATAGTTGTGTCATAAATTATCATAATTAAAGTCATAAATTAAAACATGAAGGCACTTAATTAAGTCAAAAAATAAATAATTTCAATGTATTTATATTTTGAAAGCATAAATTCATAACTTGCCTCAAATTTGATGTTGCTTTGTTTAGATTACAATTTGTGCAATAGCTGCTTCTAAATATGTTGGGCTAAATCCAGATAATAGTCAGGATCAAGCTGTCAGTTATTTGCCCTTGTCACACATCGCTGCACAAGTAACTAAATTTAAGAGATTTAAAAAATTAAAAAAATACTTTTTGTTAAAATTATTTAAAGTTATTTGACAAAATAGTATTATTTTTTAAGTCTCTATTTATTTTGTTTTTAAAAAAAAAAAAAAAAAAGAAATGTAAAAATATAAAATGATATTATAACTAGAAAAAAGTGATATTATAATTAGGAATCTTATATGTATTCATCATTCTATGTGTTCATCTTTCTGTGTGTACATAATTCTGCATGTTCATCATTGTGTGTTCATCATTTCATGTGTTCATCATTTGTGTGTGTTAATCATTTGTGTGTGTTCATTAATCTATTTGTTCATCATTCTGTGTGTTCATCATTCATGTTTATTCATCATTCATGTTTATTCGTCATTCTTTTTGTTATTCATTTCTTGTGTTTCTCATTTGTGTGTGTTCATCATTCTGTGTTCATCATTTTGTGTGTTCATCATTCTGTGTGTTCATCATTCATGTTTGTTCGTCATTCTTTGTGTTATTCATTCTGTGTGTTCATCATTTTGTGTGTTCATCATTTTGTGTGTTCATCATTTCGTGTGTTCATCATTCTGTGTGTTCATCATTTCGTCTGTTCATTTTTCTCATTTAAATAAGATGTAATACTATTTTTGGTTCTAAAAGAATATTTGAAATACTCGTTATTTTAAAAATGATTTTGCACTGGTTGTCAACGTTGTTGTTTTTGTATATAAATTTCTGTTATAAGCTTTAACATTTTTCATTCTGCAGAAAATCTTTTTGTTTAACTCAGTTAACAGATATATGGATCCCAGTTTTTGCTGGAGCATGTGTCTGGTTTGCAGGACCAGATGCGCTTAAAGTAAGTCTTTTCATAGTATTGTTCTTTTATGATTTTTATAATTAACCTGTTACACTAAGGTGAAATTTGCATTTTCATGTTTTTTTTATTTATTGTTAAACTTTTAAAAGTATTAATAAATTCTATATCATAACGCATACTCACCACAACTTAATTAAATTGTACCACAAGTTTAGGTATAGAAAAGTTTCATTTAAACATGATAAATAGTAAATAATGATTAGTTACTGAGAAAGTAAATACACATGGCTACACTGTAAGATCGAACAAAATTCTATTTCGGTATCGGTTTTGGCTGAAGTTTAAATTTAAACCGATACCGAAATTTTGGTTTCGGTACTTTTTATAAATATGGTAAGATTCAAAATTTCAGTTGAAAAACATGCCTGAAAGCCAAAATTTGAATTTTGTATGGCTTTAAATTTTGTATTTCTTTGAATTTTTAAATTATTTAGAAAAATTGTTTTTTTGACAATTTCAACAAAATGTTTTTACCATTTCTAAATAAAATTTTATACCCATCATTCATAAATTACTTAAATTTTTAGTTAATAAATAGCATGTATCCTTAAAAATTTCAAAACTAAAAATAATCAGACTATTGCAGTGCGCGTATTATTATGAATCTTGCACTGATAATGTTTTGCTTAAAGAAAACAAATTTGGTTTAAATTGTTTAAATAGAAAGTGAAACAAGGATTTTGTGGATGTTAATTAAGCTTTTAGTTATTTTAATAACCTTTTTTATGAGATGATCTAAATTAATGTGACAACGATTGGCTGAAAAAAATTGGGTTTTATCTGAATTTAAGTTCACCAGCTACTAGGAGCCCCATGCTGAGCAGAATTGAGATCTTTTTCAAGCTCAAATGCCTCCTCCAAGCAATCAGAGAGTGTTGGCTTCTTATCATGACAATCATAAATGGTAATATCATCAGAAAACAATGCCAACTTAGATGTGAGAATATCTGAAAGATCGTTAATGTAAATTAAAAAGAGTATTGGGCCAAGGATAAAATCTTGAGGAACCTCTGAAATTACAGGATATGAAGAAGATTGCTGTCCATTGAGGACAACTTTTATACTACGATTGATAAGAAAGGATTTAATAGTCTTAAAGATGTTACCCAGAGCCGGTTTAACCACTAGGCGAACTAGGCAGCCGCCTAGTGTGGCAAGTTTCCTAGGGCAGCACTAAAACTAGCTACATAAATTGTCTAAATTTTTTTTAAATTTATTGCCAAAAATTTTTCAATTCTCTTTTGAATTTAGTTTTGGACATTTAAAAATGTACTCTTTTAAATTGCGTCAAATAAAACCAAAGTCAAATTGTGCCAAATAAAATAAAATAATCAATTTTGATACTTTTGTTTTATTTGACGCTATTTCTTTTTTTTTTTTTATACTTTTTATGCAGAATGAAATTTTATAGTAATTAATTCAATGCAAAGTTTTCATTACTCATTTATAGAAAATTTTAGCACAATTAACTTTATGGTGAAAATTGTATTTACTGGCCTATTAATTCAGAAATAGTAAGAAACTAACTCTATTTAAATGTTCTATGATAGCAATTACGAAGTAGTATAGTAACAAATTAACTGATTTTTTGTGTGTTTTCATAATAATAGACTGTTATTATTTATATTTAGATGAGGTTTGCAGACATTGGCTACAGTATTCTGTAAGTAATGACTCTGTGTATTGCTTCTGCTGCAAACTTTTTACCAGCAACACAACAGCTGCGTCATCTCTTTCTTTCAATGGTTCACATGATTGGAAAAACATGTTTGCAATTCTATTTGGGCATAAGAAAAGCAGTGAAAATCTAGCGAATTTTCAGTCATGGAAAGAGTTTAAGCTGTGACTGGGAAACAATAATACAATTGATACCGAACATTTGGGTCTTGTTTAAAAAAAAGAAAAGTATTGGTAGCAAATCTTGAAACGGCTGATAGCTTTAGTTAGTTCTTGGTATGCAAAATCTTGCTATTTGTGGAACACATGAGAAACTGAACGTGACTGATAACTGAAACCTTCTGAAATTTATGGAATTTTTAGATTTGTTTGACCAACTTATGGATGAGCATCTTCGAAAGATCAAAGACAATGAAACACATGTACATTACCTAGGCAAAGACATACAAATTGAATTGATTCATCTTTTATCCAATGCAATCAAACAAAAAATTCTAACATCTATTTGTGATGCTAAGTACTTTTCAAAAATTATAGATTACACATCTGATGCTGGTCATGTTGAACAAATGACTATGATTAATTGCTTTGTGGGTGTGATTTAAAATCCAGAAAATGGCATTGCAACAACAGCATCTATAAAAGATTATTTCTTTTTTTCTGCCTCTAAAGGAGACAACTAGTGTTGTCTGAAGGAGACAACTAGTGTTATCTGAAGGAGGCAACTAGTGTTGTCAACTCTCTTCAGTGTTATCTGAAGGAGACAACTAGTGTTGGTATGGCTGAAACTATCTTTTCGGCAATTAGGCGAGATGTCTTTATCTATTAAAAACTTATTTGGTCAAGGATATGACATTAGCATAAATATGAGGGGTAAAAATAAGGGTGTTCAATGAAGAATTTTAGATGTCAATCCCCGAGCATTGTTTATTCCTTGCTGTACGCATACATTGAATTTGGCTATTAATGATGCTGGTAAATGTTGCTTAGAAGCGACAGCCTTCTTTGATTGGAAATTTTAACACAACATGTTTCTAATCTCATTGTTAAACCACTGAGAGAAACGAGATGGGAAAGCCGAATTGATGATTTAAAACCTCTCCGTTATCAACTTGGTGAAATCTATGATGCTCTGGCAGAGATTGTGGATGACACAAATTAAACAAAAGCATTTGGTAATTCAACACAAGTAGATGCGTGGTTTATTGCAAATACTATTTCTAGTTTTAAGTTTGTCATTTCTCTGGTTGATTGGTACGTGTTGTTTGAGATCAACATGACTAGTAACCAACTTTGGCAAAAGAATTAGATAAGCATGGCGCCATAAATCTTGAAAAAACAAAAAAGTTTCTTGTAAATCCCAGAAATGTAATAGAGTTTAAGAAAATTCTAGTAGATGCAGTTAAAGTTGCAGTCAGTTTAGAGATGCCTGCAATTTTTGAACCCAAATCAACCCGTATCAGAAATAAGAATAAACAATTTATGTATGAAGGAGATGACAAACCTATTCAAGATCCAAAAAAAAATTCAAAATAAACTTTTACTTTGCTATTCTGGATACAGCAATCGGTTGAAGAAAGCATTACAACATGGAGGCTCCAAAGATATCGATGCAGTTGATCTATGTAGTGAACTGAAATCAGTTTTAAGACAAGTTGCAAGATGTACATTGCCACTAGATTTATTAAATTTTATATTAAAAAATAATCTAACAGATTGTGTCAGCAACACAGTTATACCTTTAAGAATACTCTTGACACTTCCAGTTTCCATAGCGGTGAGCGAAGCTTCTCAAAACTCAATCTGATAAAAACATTTTTGAGAGCGTCTTTGCAGCAGGAAAGACTTGCTGGATAAGCTACTCTGTCAAGTGAACATGATATTGCTAGATACATTGAACTTTTGGAGCTAGTGAAGTTGTTTAAAAACTATTTATTAATATATTATAAAGTTACACGAATATACGCTTATTTATGATTATGCATGTATATATTCTTCCGAATGTAAATACAGAATGTTATAACATAACTTAAGCATTCCTTTGTGAAAGTAAGTTGGGGAGGTCTGTGAACACGCAGTGTGTCAGATTCGCCTAGAGTACCAAATACTCTGGAGCCGGCTCTGATGTTACCTGATACGCCATAATAAGAAAGCTTATGAAGAAGACCAGCATGCCAAACTTTATCAAAAACTTTAGAAATGTCAAGAGCGATAGAAAGTTGACTATTTGAGAGATTGAGAAAGGCAAGCTTTGTGGGTCTTAACGCCTGCAGAGTCACTGACACTAGAGCCAAGCTATTCAGTGTAATGAGCATTAAAGTCACCAACAACAACGATGTTGGATAAAGACAGGCTTGGTCAATTTGATCAGAAATAACATTGAGAAGAGTACAGTCTTGAGATGACGGAGAGCGAAATAGAACAAAGAGAAAGGCAATAGAATGAAGTGATGCTAAACGAAAGCACATAAAAGTGTAGTCTGTGGATTCAAACCTAGTTTCCTGACAATTGGGTGAATTCTTACGAATGCAAATGCCCATGCCAAACATGTGACTATTGGAGTCTTTACAAATTAAAGGAAGATAACCATCAGCACTAAGATCACAAGATGAGACAACCGAACTCAATATAGTCTCACAAAGAGCAAGTAGGTTTGGTGAACTTTGGAAGAGATAAGACTCAACAGAAGAAAAATTACTTTGAAGACCACGAATATTAGTGAATTATAGGTTTAGAGAACTTGGTGATGGCCATGGTTTTTTTGTGTTTTATAGTTTTATGTATTTTAGTCATTTTTAAATTTGTATAATATATATATATATAATATATATATATATATATATATATATATATATATATATATATATATATATATATATATATATATATAATATATATATATATATTTATATATATATATATATATATATATATATATATATATATATATATATATATATATATATATATATATATATATATATATATATATATATATATGTATAAAAGCAATCACCATTAGAGTTGGAAGTTACTGGAAGAGAAAAGATGAAGTTTGTAGAGCAAGATAACAATTGACAGATGACTTTTAATTATATGAAAGACTGCAAATTATATGAATCAGGAAAACAAATTGAAGGAAGCAAATTTCAAAGAACTGATATTTGAGGGGAAAAACTAGACAAATAAGAGTTTTTTGAGCACTTAGGAACAGTCACAGAAACAAGATGAGATTTAATTGAATGACAAGTAATACAAAAATGAATTGGCACAAGAGATGCCAGCTTTTTAGAGCAGTGCCTATTATAGTATTTGTAAAAAAAAAAAGAAATAGAAGCAACATTACGACGATGTGATGATATTTGGAAGTTGGCTGCAAAAGCAGATCCAACTATGTTTACAATGCATTTTTGCATCTTGTCTAAAAGAGAAAGGGCATCATTAGAAGATCGGCCCCAGGTATGGCAATAGTATTCCATACAAGGACGGATTTAAGATTAATAGAGATAGCGAATAGAATCCGGAGTATGAAAGTGTCTAGCAAGGTAAAGAGATGCCACCTTAGCAGATGCTAATTTTGCAATGGATTTGATATATGGTTTCCAAGAAAGGTTGGAAGTAAGAGTTAATCTTAGAAGATGAAAGGTAGATGACTCATCAAGTACATTACTTTTTATAAATATAGGAAGATCTAAATTTTTGCGATAGCAATATATATATATATATCAGGCCTTGCGATAAAGCGTCAGGCAATGTGAATTTTACGTTGTCCAAGAGCAATTTTGCATGTAGCTAGGGCTATTTGCGTCGAGCAAAAAATTTTTTGTTTGAGTATATTTAAAGATATTTTTGAGTGGAATTTTAATGAAGTAATTACCGAATATTTTATTATTTAATAAACTGCAGGCAGTTGATGTAAAAATTTTAATTAAAAAAAAATTAAATATGCTCATTATTTACAAGTAGAAAAAATTCAGATTAAAAAAAAAAGTTTAAATCTTTTTAAGCTAACATTTTAATAAAATTATTCAGCAATAGCAAAGTTATTGATAAATTTGAACAAAAGTACTTTCTTTTAGATTTAGATTTTTAACTTAAATAATTCTTTTACCGGGGTTTGTTAGGTTTTCAAATTATTCCATAGATTTAAAAATATTTATTAACTGTTAGACGTATTTAAAGCATTTAAGAGTAATTTCGAGGAAACATTTTAAAAATTGGTAAACGCAAATAAAAAATAATAAAAGGATTAATATTAAACGTATTCTACTTGATTTAATAAAAAAGTACAGTTATTAAAATTTTTGTAAAAAGTAACTCAAAAAAATTGCTTAAATAATAACAATCGCTTTTTTGTTAACTGAAACTCTTTTACTTATTTTACTAGAAATAAAATTCCTTGTAAACATTAAAAATCTATTCAAAACGTTCATTAAAGTTTTTTAATAACACGAGTGATTGTGCTTATCAACCGCTTTATGAAAATAAATAAAAATAAATAAATAAAAAAATATTATATAAAATCGCTGGTAAAAATATTAGTTATTGCACATTTTTAATTGTACAATATTAAAATTTCCAGTTTATTACTCGCTGACTTTTTAAAAAGAAAAAATAATTATTTGAAAAACTTTAAATTACATATTTGAGAAGAAAAAAATCAAATATTAGATTAATTTATAATATTTTTTAAATGTTTAGTTATGTTTTTTATTCGTTTAGTATAGGCAAAACGTGTCAAATGCCGAGAAAATAAACAAATGTTTTTACATTTCAAAAAACGAAATATTCCAAAACATTTTTAAACAATAAGATTTCTACATTAATAATTTAAAGTAGTTCTGCGGTAATTAAGTAAATTGGTACAGTTAAAGTTGATAAATATGAAAAGCAAATAAAAAGAATTTAATGACATCAAAAATCACGTCGTGCTTATGCGTCACTCAGTTTTTATTCATCCTGATTTACTTAAACTCTTTAATTATGTCATATTTAAAGAAGAAAATATTATGGAAACAAATCAAACAAGTCTGGAACCATAAAGATTAAACTTTAAATAAGTAATATGTAATTATATATCTATTGTTTATTATATTATCTATTGTTTATTGTATGATATAATACTACTTGTTAATTAATTATTATTAGTTATAATTAATTGTTAGATTAAAAATGAGTTTTAACAAAGGTTTTTAATGCAAAAAAATTGTCATTAAAATATTTGTTTTAAAATTTTAAAAGTGCTGTAATTTGCGAATGCTGTGACCTTGTGCCTTCAACAATTAATTATAGAATTAAATATTTGTTAATATTTTCAAATAGTATCCACTTAAATAGCTGTCTTTACTGAAAATTTTACCAAACTGTATATTGTGCTTAACAATAAAACAATGAACAATTTTTTTTCTAGGGAGCTTTAATTGACACACTTAAGCAAGCTCGCCCTACTTTATTTCTAGGTGTACCAAGGTATGTTTACATGAGTTTTATTTTAATTTAGTTTAAAGTATATTTTAGTGATGCAAGTTTTTGCATGATTTTTAAAATAAGATTTCAATTGTTTATTTTTTTGCTGTTAGTTATAGAATAAAATTTTTTTGAACTTAAAATGTATCCTTGTTTAACTTTTTATGCTGGTCAAGAATCTTTTTTTTTATTATCATTATGATTTACTCATAACAAGGCTGCAAGCAACCACTTTGAAGTTGGGAGTTACTAGAAAACATAGAATAGAGTTAAAGAGCGTGGAAACAGTTGACAGAAGACTTGCAAAATTGTAGGTTGTATGAGTCAAGAAAGCAAGAAGATAAGAGAGAGTTCCAAAAAGTTTAAGTGCAAGGGAAAAAACTAGACATGAAAGCTTATAGAGCATGCAGACTTTGCTTTTTGAGAATAAGAGATTTGTAGAGGTTGAGAATGGAATCAGGAGTAAGAAAATGGCAAGCATGATAAGGATAAGCAACCTTAGCAGATGCTAATATAACAATCGATTGTATATATGGTTTCCATGAGAGGTCTGAGTCTTCTTCTTTACATCTTCATGGCTTAATGTTTAGATAAGCCAAGAAGATGTAAAGAAAAGGACTCAGCCAGAGGGTTCCCATTCATTATAGGAATGTTGAAAGTATTGTGATAGTTGTTTGCAGTAAATAACTGAGTTTAGTTTCACTTTAAATGTAAATTTGTAAGGAAGATCATTGATGTAGATAAGACGCAAAACAGTACAAAGGATAAATACTATGGATAAAATCTTGAGGTACCCTAGAGGAATGAAGAAGACTGTCGGCCTTCAACAATGTCTTTAATAAAGCGGTTAGAAGGGAAAAGTTTGACAATATCAAAAACTTTCCCAGATACACCATATGAAGCAAGCTTATGGAGAAGACCAGCATGCTAAACGTTTTTAAAAGTCTTAGATATGTCAAAAGCAATACCCCTAGCCTTGTCGCCTCCATCTAATATGATAAAATCTTTCAATTACAGCAGTTAGCAAGTCATAGAATAAGGAGATCAAAAACTGTATTGATTGTTATTTGATTCAAGATGGGATGTTGGAAATTTGTTGATCGATGACTCAAAGACCTTACTAATATCAGAAAGAAGACTGATCCAGCGATAGTTTGAGGGGTCAAAGTTTTTTGCAGATATTAAATGTTAGTTAAAAACTTATAGTTGAAACAGTGAACTGTATGGGGTAGAATAAAATATGCTTATTTTCAACTTGGTAAATGGGACTTATTTTCAACTTGGTAAATGGGACGAATGTCTAAACTGACCAATCTATGCCAGTACCATCATCAAAAATGCTTACATTCCAATATTTGAATCAGAGTGTCACAATAAATTTGAAATATTCAAAAAAACAGCAAATAAAGCAAGCAAGGAAAAAATTGTATGCTAAAACTTTAATAATGAGCACCAAATAAATCAAGTAACAACAGCAACCCAACAACAACAACAAAATGTTGTCAGCAGCCAAAACATAGGGTCTAAACATCATTACAAGAATAAATTTTTTTATTAATTGGTTGTTTTTCTAACAATTATTGGTTGTTTTTTTAATTGTTTTTATTAGTTACTTTTTTAAGTAAAGTGTTCTTTTAATTAACTATCGAATTGTATATTTTATTCGCTTAAATGTAAGGTTAGAATAAAATAGTTTAATTCAAAAGCTCAAAATACTATGAAAAAAAATAAGTTCTTTTTTATGTGAAAAAAGTAAAAAAAAAAGTTTTTTCTTAAAGTCAATAATTTCTTTATAGAGTTTTTGAGAAGATAGAGGAAAAATTGAAGAGCATAGGTGCAGCAACTACTGGTGTCAAAAAAACAGTTAGTAGTTGGATGAAAGCAAAACTGTTACTTGGAAATCAACTAAAAGAAGCTGGGTTTGTTTAATTTTTGAACCTTCAAATATTTATAAAAATCATATTCCTGAGTATGTTTGTGTGAACAGGTATTAAGCCCATTTTTATTGTGTTTTTTTTTTTTTTTTTCATAAGCATTTTAAAAATTAACAAATATGTGACCTCGCGGTAGAAAAGGGATGAGATAAGGGGAATGAGTTATTCATACCACAGAAACAAGCTAATTAAACTGAACGAAATGATACTCAACTGCATCCAAAGTTATGATTTTTTATATTCTAAAGTTTAAAAATGGCAATTGTCGGGAAAATCAATTTAAAATTTTAATAAAAATGTTATTTGCGATTTTGGAAAATGCTGAAAGTTATACAGATTAATACAATATGACCAAAATAATCAATTCAGTTAATAGACTGATAATCCATCTATCAAATTTAAATGAAAGCAGAAAACTTAAAAACCACAGGTCACTGTGTTTAAGCGTGATTTTCTCAGAAACTAGATCCCGCCATTTGGTCCCTTTTCTAAAAAAATTTAAAGAATAAGTGAGAGTGAGGAGAACAGATTATAATTTAGTAATTTTACGTTTTGTTGTGTTTGTGTTTACTGCTTAGAAAACATATTTACTGTTTAGAAAACCTGTACCTTATGGATGGACTATTGCCAGTAAACTGATGAAAAATGTAAGTATTATTAATTGTATTATGCAAGTAGGGGGTTAATTATTTAGGAGACAATAAGAACAAGTTATATCTGTACTTTTTTTTTTTGGTGTCATCTGTAGCACCTCTATTTTTAATATATATCATCTTTTGAGGTTTTTATTGTTTTTACATTAACTTTCTTTGTTTATTATTGTTTATAAGTAATTGATAAAATTATGTAAGTTATAATGTAGAGTTTATAATTTATTTTATATTACTAGTAGTAATATATTTAGTACTATTAAATTGATGTGTGAATACTGATTAAAATGTCTATATTATATATATATTATATACTGATTATATGTCTATATATCATTAGCAATGAAACCTCACATAGAAACTATGAGAGGTTTCATCTTTACAATTAATTGCAAAGTTAGTATCTACTAAAGTTGCTTTTTATTTATCGTGATTGCCATTTTCACAAAATTATGATCAAAAATAGTTTTACATATAAATAAAGAGATATTTTGATAGTAGTTGTCAGCATCAACTGTTGTTAGTACCATTTTGTAGTTACATAACTAATTACAAAGCCTAGTATTACATACCCTATATGGTATGTAAGTCTTTTTACACATCAAACTTTCAATCAACAAGTCAAACACACAAGCTCTATGAGGATACATTTTCAACTAAATTTAAGAACAAATCATAAGAGCTGATGTTGCTGAAACGCTTATTAAACGTTGTAAATTTTATTATTAATTTAAAGTCATTTGTACATATGAGATTTATATTTACATACATAATATAAATATTCCAGAACGATTTAAATTTTAAAGAAAATTGAAATTTTTCTATTTTGTGAATTAAACTCTATTTGAATGGTTTCTAGAAATGCTGCTAGATTTACTTCTATATTAAGAACTATGGGATAAGCATATATTATACAACAGATTATACAACAAAAACAATACAGTTTGCTGTATTGTTTTTGTTTTAACACATTGCATGCGGGACATGTACTAGTACATTTTCTAACAATCAAGGCTTGAGCACTTGTCTCGTACTAGCAATGACATGATTTTTTTTTTCTGTATTTCATTTTATTTTAGTTTAAAAAAATCAATTTAAATTTAAAATTTTATTTTAGTTGTTAATTTTAAATTTAAATTGATTTTTAAAAAAATCAATTTAAATTTAAAATTAACGTTTTATTTTTTTCCTTAAGAAGCCGCAAGCAATGTGTAATAATCCTAGTCAGGCCATTTTACCAAATGTAATAAAGTTGTTATAATTGCATGTTGTTATAAATGTCTTATATTTTAGCCTGTTGCTTTCCAAAAATAAGAGTTAGCGCAACATTGTGTTTAATGTTTGTCAATTTACTTTCAATCAAATTCTCTAAAGGGTTTCTTCAAGTTTTGTTAAATTTTATATAATTCATATGCATATATATATATATATATATATATATATATATATATATATATATATATATATATATATATATATATATATATATATATATATATATATATATATATATATATATATATATATAAGGGTTATGACTTTTTGACTTTTTTTTTAAAAAATTAATTTCCTGTATCATAAATCAATGAACTTTAATTAGAAAACATTGAAAACATGTTCAATTTCTTTCGGTTGTAGAAAAAGGTCACCCCGCAATTCAAATTACATTTTGTCAATTATTTAATCTTGTTACCGCTACTACTAATACTTGTCGCTTCCCTGCAAATCATTTAAAACTTGTATAGATTAGAAGTGTTTAGAACTTTAAAACATTTTGGAAAATAACAGAATATTTTAGAAGACTTTAGAACATTCTAGAACAGTTTAAAACATTCTAGAACAATTTAGAACATTCTGGAATATTCTAGAACATCTTAGATTATATATAGCTGCTCATCTAATTTTATAGTTATTACAGAAGCAACACGCGGCGTCGTACAAGCCTAACAATAGTAGCATGTAGTAGAACAAGCATGTCTGGACCAATAATCTGGTAAAATTAGAATACTCTTATAAAAGATGAAGAATGGTCCCTTTGGAATAACATTCACTGGAAGAAAAGTGCAGAATGCCTCTCCAAAAGCAAATTATTGATTGCTACCATTTCCTTGGACCAAAAATCGAAAGAAGAAAGGAGCGAATAGTGGAAGTTTCCAAAGAATTCACCAAATTGTGGAAGAAAAAACTGAATTTTCCACATGTATCTGATCAAGTTATACGAGCAAAGCTTGATAAAATACTGAAATGTTATGATGAATGTGTCAAGCGGGGAAGCTACAAACCCCTTGATGAAATTTTTGGTGTTAAGTGGATGGAGCGTGGTTATCTTCCAAGGACAAGTGATTGTACAATCTCCAAATGGAAAGCAAAGGAACAGTGAGATACTCTGCAGGCCAAGCAGCCAGTAAAGAAACGATCCATCCCTCTAAAAGATAAAAACTTTCTAATGAGTCATCCAACTCATTATCTTACTATCCTGGTTTTAGTGATTCTGACTGAGGCTGACGACAGTGTATATGAAAATAATGAAGATGAAAATGAGACACTGTAGACAAACTTTATTCATTTATTGGTTAACTAATTTGTCGAATGAGTTATTTATTGAATTTCTATTTTTCTATCTTTTCTAACAGTTACGGTCTTGCCAAATTGTAATAAAAATGATTATCTTAAGGATTTGTACTCAAAAAACTACTATCCTTTAATAGCATTTCTGAATATGCTTTATTAAAAAAAAAATTATATATGGAAACATTCTTACAGTATTACATATATTGCTTTATATTATATTTCTATACTGATATTATGCTGTTATTTAAAGTTATAATAATTGATGCGTGATTTAATGATCAAAGGTTATTCATATCTTAAAAATTATACTAAAGCATGCGATCGTTGAATTTAGAACGTTGTGTTTTAAAACTTGTCACTAATACATTGTTAAATTTTTTTTTCTTTCCCGTAATTACATTAAGTGATTATATTAATAAAAACATCAACAAACAACTCAAAATGTTTCTCTTAATTAAACGAAAAAAAATTTTGTACAAACATCTACAAAATTCTTCTGCATTGTTACTTTCAATCGCTAAAGTATCTGAATCTAGCAAAACATGACTGTTGCATCTGAATCTAGCAAAACATGAACTGTTTGTATGGTCATAAAAAAATACAAGAGCTTTCTATCTATCGAAAGAGCAAAATGGTTTGGAAGAAAGAGTGGCTTTAAGGATAACATTGCAGCAATTAGTATTTGACAATCATTCACAAAAAATCATTTTAAGGTCAGATTAGATTATATTAAGATCACTTTATGTTCAGATATTCGGCAATGCCAACCTAACTGCCTTAACCCTAATTTCAAGGGTTATATACATATATATAATTTGTTGTTGTTTTTATTTTTTTTTTTTTTTTTTTTTTTTTTTTTTTTGCTATTGTTATACTTATAATTTTTTTGTTTATTTATTATTATTTTTAATTATTATTCTTTATTTAGACAATGAAGTTTTATTTCACTAAAGTTTATTTTTTAAATAACTCGTCAAAATTTTATCTAGAATATTTGGTTGATTAAAAACTAGGTTGTTGTAAAGCTGTGTTTGATATTAACTATGTTTTGTAGTGTCTCTGTATTTTATAACTTTAATGATTTGACTCTGATTAAGTTAGCTGTCTTCAAACAAAGTTACCTGAAAGTTACCTGCTTGTTTTTCTTTAGACTTTTTTGAACTATTGTTTTTTTTACAAATGTCATTTAATGAGTAGTAAATGTTAAAATGACTGACTCAGCTGGCTTGGTGTAAAAAGATTACACTACAATGATACACTAATTTTAATACTATTGTGTGTAGTGATAGAGTCCTGACTTCCTAAACATGAAATTTAGAGTTTGATCCTGCTAGTACTGCACTCCACTTGTTTCTCCAGTTATTTCTAATTTTTCAAGGCTTGTAAAAGTATAGACCCTTTAGGCAAGTCAGTCGGTAAGTTTACACATACAGTCGGTGAATGTCGACTTGGCAGTTGGCAAATTTTAAAAATCGAGTACCTTGTTTTTTTTGTCCGCAAAGTTATAATGGCACCCTCTCAAAAGACACAAGCTTGTGCCAGCCCTGGTAATGGTTACCAGCATCGTAAAAATTATACAAAAAATTTTTTGTAACGTTAGAAACAGTTTAAAACTAAGTAAATCTAATAAATAGACTCTTAAAAAGAAGACAAATTTAGCTGTAGCCAGCATCTTAATCAAGTACTACTACAGATTATGTGTTTTGAAATGATACAATCATATTGTTTTTTTCTATATGTTTTCATATGTTTTTCCATCATTTTTTTTTCATCTATTGTTTTCTCCATATTAGATCCTCTTTAAACATAGATATTCCCTTTCACAAACCCTTAGTCTATCCTAATTTTAAATTTAATTGACAGTATAAAGAATATATATATATAACATTTATTTAGGTTCATAAAGGTCTTGGTTTAGATCGATGTCGTTTAATTTTTACTTCTGCTGCTCCTATATCTAAACAAACATTAGAATATTTTCAGAGTTTAAATTTGCCTCTATTGGAATTATATGGAATGAGTGAGTCAACAGGTCCTTTAACAATATGTTCACCAGGGCATTCACGTATTACTTCTGTTGGAAAGTTACTCCCAATTAATGAAGCTAAAATTGGAAATCCAGACGAAGATGGTAGTGGCGAAGTATGTTTTTATTCTATTAAAAAAAAAAATTTTTTTAACACCTATAACAGCTGTTTAATAAAAAAGTATGTTGCAGGAACAGGTTGATTTTAGTTTCACTGTTTTCATTAGTGTATTTTTTTTTACTTTTAAAACTCTTTACTTAGCAACATTAATTTAACACAAAAAAATTCAAGTTATAACAGCTCAATAATAAATCATTAAAATTATGAATATTTGTTTATTTCAGCTGTGCTTTAGAGGGCGAAATGTTATGATGGGATATCTTAATAGTGAGGAAAAAACAAAAGAGTCTCTTGATGATGATGGTTGGTTGAAATCAGGAGATGTTGGAAAAGTTGATGAAGTAATTATTTTTTTAAATATATTCAAAACACTAAAGTATTATATCTGTGTATAAATTACATATATGAATTAAAAATTAATGTCTGTATTGTTATCTTTTGAAACTATTTTTTTGTTCTCTAAAGAATTTTATATTGTTATACTAAAATCTTCAACTTACATTTGAAAAACTTAGAAAACCAATTGAAATGATTTATCTAGTCACTTTTTCTTTAAATTATTATTTTTTCTTTGAGCAAGACATTTTTGAATGTCTTTTTTTATTATTATTTGCAAGTTCAGAATCTCTATAAACTATTCTTTGCAAAAATGAATTTCCATTGTTTTTAAAATTTGATAAAAATAGAAAACAGTATGGTCATTTTCCATTGTAAATTTCTCATAAAATTTTTCACAAAAATGAAATCCGCCTATCATTTAAAATTTAATAAAAACAGTAAAAAATGATGCACTCCATCGTAATATTCAATAAAATATAAAAAAAAGTGCCTGATTTTTGTAAAAATAACATTCACAAAACTCACTTTATGTGGTCCTTTTTATGACTTTTTTTCGATCTGAATAAAATTACACATGCCAAATACCAACACCCCTATTGCCACCTTGCAACCTTGATACAAACAAAGCGATTACTATACTTTTCAAATTTAATTATTTAATAAGAAAATTTTCTATTCAGCTCTTTACTTTCGTAAACACCAATGTTTTTCTTATGTAAAAAATTTGTAACTGTACTTTCATAAACACCAATGTTTTTCTTATGTAAAAAATTTGTAACTGTACTTTCATAAACACCAATGTTTTTCTTATGTAAAATATTTGTAACTGTACTTTCATAAACACCAATGTTTTTCTTATGTAAAATATTTGTCTCTGTATTTGAAGAAAAGCATTTTTCATGGTTTTTGTTTTTAAGTTCACAATAACTTAGAGTACTTAAGGCTACTTAAGTACTATTACTTAGTACCTAGGCTTCTTACTTAAGGGCTTATTAGTACTCAAAAAATTTTTAGCAAAGAAACTTTCTGGATCTATAGTTTTTTAACCCTTTGGGTCTTGCATCAGGTTGGTTGCCATCTATTGTTTTAAATGTTTTCAGAGAGTATTTGTCATAGTATTTCTGACACAGTTCCTAAAATTTTTAATACTCTTGCTATTTTTCTGTTACTGATCATGAAGCTCTATAGCTTTTATTTGCTACTTTGTTGCTTCACTTACTGCTTCATTTACACGTCATGTTTTACATTAAAGCTTATTAAAGTTTGCCTTTGGTAAATATTGTTGCTTTTTTGTAATGTTTGAAAAAAAAATTATTCTACAGTGTCTATTTTTTTAAAAGCACATACTATGCAGGTCTGTTTTTAAAGAAAAAGTACAACTTTGCAACCTTATTTTCCTATTCTATATTGTTGTTAAGGGACTTTCATTGACCTCTCTATATTGTTGTTAAGGGACTTTCATTGACCTCTCTATATTGTTGTTAAGGGACTTTCAAAAAAAAATTTCCATTGACCTCTCTAGAGTTTTGAATATTTTATATTTAGCACATTTCCAGGAAATTTTTTTTTTTTTTTAATTTGTAACGCAGGACAGATAGGGAAATAATAAATAGCACGAAATAACAAATTTTATAAAACTGGGCTGCATTAATAACTTTTGAAATTTAAATGGAAACATGTTCAAATACTGAAATATTCTTATAAGAACAAACGCATGAAGTTGATTTACAGAACATTGCCTAGATGATGTTTTAAGTTATTTTTAAATTATTAAATTTCAAACAAAAATAATAAAAAATGCACTGAAATTATTTCTAGCCTTCTAATCACAAGCTGCTATGTTATAAGAAAAGACGTCAATTGTGTTGTTTCTGCTGTTTAAAAACTGTGGCTTTTGGGTGGTTTTCCCTGCATTATTTTTAGAAGTATAAGTTAACAATTGATTCAAATAATGTACATTATTTATTACATAATTATTGGCATTATTTTAAAATTCAAGTTTTTTCTGCTGTTTGAAATGTGCGGCTTTTGTTTACAAAACACCAAAATATACAAGGAAATTGTATACAAGAACAAAATAGACAAAAAAATATCAAAAAGTTTCTTCAAACAAAAAGTTTCATAAATAGAGAGCCAATTAATTTGAGAAAAGGGATTCTAACACAAAAAAAAAATCAAAACATTTTTCATAAAATGACAATTAATTAAAAAAATATATTAATGAAAATCAGAATTAATTTTATTAGGAAATTTTGATATTGAAAAATAATCAACTAATATATAACAAAATAAAGTGACAGTAACAGTCGACATTGATAAATTTAATAAAAAATATTTAATATTTTATGTATACCAACAGAAATTCAAAAATATGTAATATTTTGGAATTTCTGCTGGTATACAGGAGGGATTATTGGATTGACTTTTATTATATGGAAATATTAATCTTAATGAAATAAAACTTTTAAAATAGAAAAAGTAAGATTCATAAGTAAGGAAACAAGAAATAATTCGGGAAAAAGTAAAATATAAATATAAAAATAATAATTTAGTTTTGCACATTAATACAAAAAAAGTTTCAGCTGTAAATAAAGATTATATTTCTGTAATTAAAAGATGCCTAACTATTGTTGTACAAATCCAGTCTGAAATTTAAATATAAATGGAAGATAACATAATGAGCTGTTAGGTATAGTTGAATGTCAATTGGGTAAAGTTTATGATCAAGCATTGACATGTTTTGAAAGATTAAATTCCAATTATAAAAATTTAGAAGTTTTATATTTGGAATTAGTGCTAATATAACAGCGTGAAACATGGATTACATGCTGTTGGGTCATAATGTTTGCATCAGTATTTTAGAAGAACTTTTAGATTGATCTCTGTTTACTTATAGATTCTGTTAAGAAAATATTCTTAAGGACAACATATATTACATGGAATAATTGTGTTCATTAAAACAAAAAGCTATTTGAATCTATTTACACAAGCTTCTAAGCTACTTGGGTAAGGCAGCATGAAAATGTTGAAAAAAATATGGATCAGTTATAAAAGTTTTCATAGTGGGAAGTTAGTGGAACTCCTTTACAAGATAAAAAAAGGTAATAAAAAGTTTATATTTTAGGCAAAAATGCTTTTGAACTTTATATGTTCCCTAGAAATGATTAGAAACAATATGTGGATATAAGAAGAAAGGCAGTTCCTGGATTTATTATACATAAACCAGCTGCTGAACATAAAACTAAATTTATGGTAGATGCTTAGTACTTTTTGGCAATGTATTAACCTTATAGAAAGAGAAGGTATTTTCAACCAATTCAAATTGTTACTGCTTATAATAATTTGTGTACAGTTAAAGAGATGATATAGATAAAAGTTTTTAATTTAGATTACTTCAAGCTATGATAAAAACATTTTTATCTTTTTAAAGAAGTTGTCTTTTGTTTATTGAAAAGTCTTGATAATACAGCTAAAAAGAAATATCCTCAGCAGTTGTCAAAAGCAAATTTACCTGAAATCTTTAGTCTTGAAAAATTTAGGCCTGTAAATTAATGAAAGTTCAGAACTTAATGAGTATGTTGGTTCTTGAGTAATACTTAAAATAGTTCCTTACTTATCAAGTGTTAGAAAATCTACCTGATTTGTTGGTCCATCATTCTGATTATAAAAATATGCAAATGTTTATAAAAAAACTAGTCTGTATCAATGACTTTTGCGAAGAGCTATTTATTTAGTTATATAAGAACTTTTTATAAGAAACTACTTTTTATATTAAAAAAAAAGATATAAGAAAAATCTTTATATAAGAAACATTATCCAACTTTTATTATGTACTACAAAATTTGTTTGTAAAATCTTCAAAAAAAGTCTTTCACAAGTTAAACAGTTTCCTTTGTTTTTTATGTTTATTAAGTATAATTTTTAGATTCCTTATCTAAATTACTTGTTAAATGCAAACTTTATTGAGTTTTTGGAGTAATTAGATAAATATACAATGAAAACATAGTGAAAGCCTTAAAAAAAACAGGTCATATTTAAAAATGTGTTATCTGATAATATGAGTATGCTAATTTAATATTATTATTATTAGTCGAGTTACGTCATTTTCTAGGCTTTTCTATTTTAAAGTAGTTTCTAGGCTTTTCTATACGCGTTTTTTTTTTTTAATTTTATTTACTAACAACGCGTATTACGGGTTGCTTACTGCTAGTCTTGATAAATTTCAATATTTTTAGCAGAAATTTTGTACCAACCTTCCTAATAGTAGAGCCAGTTCAAACAAAAAAAATATATATAAGTTCTCTATAAATGTATAATGATTCTTGCTCCAATTAAGACAGTTGTTTAATAAATAATTGGTTTAAAATGGCTTTTTTCAAAACATTCTTACCCCAAGGGAGGTCAGGAAATTTTTTTTTGGAAGTGTTTTGTATAATAACATAAATCGGGAAAATAAAGTGGCAAAGTTGTAGTTTTTCCAATCCCTAAAAATGAGGTTGGAAAAACTACAAATATTATTGTATATACACAATTTTTTTTTTTGTCAATCTGTATAAAAACATAAAACTTTAAAAAAAAATTATTTGTAGGACGGCTTCTACTACATAACTGGTAGAATAAAAGGTATAAAGTTTAATTTTTTTTTTATAATAAAATACAGACTTACTTCTTAGCTAAAACTGGGTTAAGACTGACCTTTATTTTTAGATTTTACTGTTCATTTTTTGTTTTAAATCCTAACACATGTCTAAATGTAACTAAGTTTTATCTTGTTTTTTTATAAAAAGAATTGATTATTACTGCTGGCGGAGAGAATATTGCTCCTATACCCATAGAAGATAATATTAAACTTGAAATACCTTTTGTTTCCACTGTAATGGTAATTGGCGACAAGAAAAAATTTCTTTCCTGTATTATCACACCTCATGTAAGTGTTTTTCTGATTTTATTTTTATTATTATTGTTTTTTTTTATGGTATTTTTTTAAATAAATAATTTTATTAAAGGTTGAAATTGACAAAGAAACAGGACTGTCAACGGATAAACTTTTGCCTTCAGCTGTGAATTATTGCAAAGAGCTCGGTCTTGAGGTGACTAAATCTCAAGATATTTCTCCTAATGTTCCTGAAGTTCTTCAAAAAGCTATTCAAGATGGTATCGATCGAGCTAATAAAAAAGCTGTTTCAAATGCTTCAAAAGTAATTTTTATTTTTCAAATGCATTGAAGATTTTTGTTTTTTTCTTGCAGCCTATATTTGATTATCCCAGATGCCGCATTTAAACTTGGTAATGAAGTTATGCTTAGTACATCTAACTATCTGAAAACATTTTTTTTTATAATTGACTAGTATTAAACTGTTATATATAAGATATTTATGAACAGATGGTAAAAATCAACACTATTTTGTTGATATTTTTTAAGCAAACAAAATACAGAAAGCTGTTGCAAAACACTCTGCTGCTTCTGCACCTCTACTATCTTGACCTTTACCACCATTATCTTGACCTTTACCACCACTATCTTGATTTTCACCACCACATCACTATCTTAAACTTCACTGCCAATATCTTGATTGACAGATATTTTCTAATTAGTGGATTTGTTGTTAAAAAAAGAGGTTTTTGCCTTTAAAATATATGTTTTAAGCATTATATTCCACCCATTATTTATTTTTTTATAAAAATTAATTTTAATGGTATTAATAAAGTATATTTAAAAACAAATTAAAGAAAATTAGTTTTTAGTTTAACAGTATCAGTTAAATTTGATTTTTTTCGTACACCAATTAAATTGATATTTTTGCATGGTTCAATTCTCTGATTGAATGATTGTGATTGAAATTAGATTGATTCAATTCACAGATTGAAGCCACCAATAAAGTTATTTTTCTCCACCAAATTGTTGAAGAGAATTATCAATACAACTTCTGCATTAAGTAAAGTAGCATTACTGCTGTCAAGTCTTTCTGTTCCAACTTTAATTGGTTGTAGCGAAATTGTTGTTGCGTTTATTACCGCATATTCTTTAAAAAAATTTTAAATTGATCATTGCATTATACAGATGTTTTTACTTTAAGAAATCTTTTTAACTTTACAACAACACTATTTCACCTTATTTTTACATCCAGCTTAATTTTTTTATAAAACATACTATTTACATTTGTACACTTTCATTCTTACGAGTTTATTTGCGGAACATTCAAAAAACCTTTCGAACCTTCTGAATCATTAGGGTAATATTTAAGTTACTTTGTAAATCATCAGTAAATGTAACGCTTGATAAGCTGTATGACTCGTTATTATGTCTAAATTTGTTGAATGTAATTAATTCATCATAATTAGTGAAGTTGTCATCAGGATCTTGCAAATGTTAATCACTTTCATTTTGCTTCGGAAGGCACTTAACTGTTCGTAAAGCGCGTCACATACTGCTGAATGAAGTCCATGAGCATAACAGTTGATTGTTCAATACCACTTAAGCTGTCAAACAAAACAAATGAATTTATCATTTAAAATCAAGTTATTTATTTTATAACAACGAAAAAAAAAGACATTGCATTTTTGTAAATTTTGAAAAGATTTTGAGCATAAATTTTAGACTAAAATAATTATTAATAAATTTGTAATAAGTTCTATAACTTTATATAAAAGTGTTAAGGTAAACTTCCTTGCTTTAGATAATTTGAAATTTACAGTCACGCTTTGTAACTATAATTTACAGTCATGCTTTGTAACTATAATTTACAGTCATGTTTTTTTTAGATAATCAGGCTATTTAGTACTAAACAAGTTGAAGAAAATTTTAAAAATTTATTAAAACGTATGATTTTACTTTAGGTGCAAAAATGGAAATTATTACCATTAGAATTTACTACTGCTGGTGGAGAACTTGGTATGATTTGATGTTTAACTTAGGCATCTTGCTAAGTTTTTTATTAATTGTTTTTTTTTTTTTTAACGTTAAAATGCAGTGATTTTTTTTTTTTTTTTTTTTTTTTTTTTGTAAATTTTATTTATAAGTTGTTAATTTTTTGTCATATATTACATATATTTTAGTTCATAATAAATACTTAGTTAAATAATAATTAAAAATAATAGATTTAAATAACAATAATAATAGACCTCTAGAAATCAAATATAATCTTTGAGATCTAAAAATTTTCGTAATTTTGCATTAAAATATTAAAAAATGAGATGGTATAACAATGATAATTGACATATTTAACCAATAAAATCTTGGTTTTGCCTAATTTTGAAATGTAAATCGTACTTTTAGTTAGTTTTTACTGTTTATTTATTTTTAATATTTTTGATATAGTATTTAGAGCATTCTTGTAATTTTACATTAATATTTATATATTTTTCATTTTTTTATTTTTAGGTCCTACACAAAAATTACGGCGTCCGCAAGTTATGAAAATGTACAAAGAAACTATCGATGAAATGTACGAAAACTTATAAAAATTAGATGTTTTCTTTTCATCTTTTATATAAACTTTTATATTGTGGTTTTTGTAATAAAAAAAAACAATAAACTGTAGAATTTTTAGCACTTAGAAAAAATATTTTCTAAAAGCTATTGATTCAATTTAAAATCCATTGTTTCAGATGCATTTTTTCGTTGTGAAAAACCAGGACATTATGAAAAAAAGTTTTTTTTGTTTTTTGCTATCGGATTCATTTTTGGCTTTTTGTTTTGCTGGTTCATATGCAAAGTTGATAACAAACGACACTTGTTTTTTTTCGAAATTTTGTTGCCATATTAAAGGAATTTGTTCGAAATTTTTTTGCCATATAAGGAATGATGAAAGGTTTCAAAACTAATAGAATTTGACTCCCTATTGGTGTATAGCTTTCAGTTTTCAAAATCTTCCACTATCGAATCTAGAAACTGCTCACTATTCTATAAAATATTGCAATTCACCATTGGGTCTTCCTTAAAGTACGTACATAGGTATAGGGGGAGGGTGTTACCCAAAAACACACGAATATCCCGTATCTCCTAAAACAATTTTTTTTTTTATATATAAAAGCATTGAATTTTATAAGTTTAAAAAAATCTATGTTGCGACATGAATGCATTTAAGTAAATTGAGATTTTTGCGTAAAAGTTTATTTGACAAAAGTTAGTTATTTTTTAGATTTTAGGTGTTTGTTTTTTTGTTATTGTTGTTGTTTGGATTAGTAAAATAACCAAAAATAATATTTTAATCGCTATTCAACATCCGTAAATCTATTGAAAAGTTAGACGATCCATTTTACCGATGATAAAGTTTAATTGAGTTTATTAACAATGTATTTTTTAACAGATGATGAGTAATTATTTTATTTAGTTATTCCTATAATTGATGTAACTAAAGGTTACTGAGTGTTCTTGTTGTTCAATTAAAAAAAGAAAATTAATTATTACAAAACTAATATTTTATTTGTCCGATATCTACTAGCAATATTTCAAATTTTTATTTGCGTGCAAGTAGGTCAGAGAGCAAATAGCACTTTATTGAACTGATGAAATCAATAAACCATAGTAACGTTGTCTAACTTCACATAATATATATACTGGTTAAACAGCACAAAATATAGCACGTTGGTTTAACACAAGTGTGTTAGTATTCTATATCGTCAGGTTTTCATTGCAATGAAAAATAATTGTTAAAATATCAAAGTTAATTAACTGAGAATTTGAAACAACTTTTGAATGAGTATTGAGTAAAGGTGCAACGTCAGATGTGCATAGAAGTTGTTGAATCAATGTAGAAATGAGTCCCTTATTTATATTGAGCAAAAGAAAAACCTAATTCTTATCTCTAGATTAAACGTAAGGTTGTGGTTTTGTGACGGCTCGTACGGAACTTGCTACTAAAGAGTTACGATGTTATGACGAGTGGGGGAGGGGTGGTGTGAAAAACTTAAAAATTGCTTGACGTTATTTGTGAACGACCCCTTGTTATTTATAAATTAAGTAATTTTAACAATTATGAATAAGGTCGTCTTATATTATATAATAGCGAAGTCAATACTCATTGGAGAGTGTTTGAGACGATACTCTTGGCAGCCATTGCAACCGAGGTAATAGCAAGAAAGAGTAGCAGCACTTTTTATGTAAGAAAATTCTTCGAAAGTGTATGCTATTATCTAACTTACGCAAATATCTATTTTTCTTCAAATTTGTAATGTTAAAAACATGCTAAAACATATATCAGGTTTTCCAGTTTTACTTTCATTGCGAAAATTGCATTGCGGCAACATTGCCTTAAGATGTGATAAAGTCTTTAATATACAATATACTTTTTAAAACATTTTTAGAGAATAAGTCTGTGTAGCCGAGTGGTTAGTACGCAACGCTCTGCAGCTGGAGTTCCAGGTTTGATTCCTACCGTCGGCATTTTTTTTTTTTTTTAATTAATCTTTTATTTTTCTAAAATTCAAAGTAAAACGCTTTTGAAGAAAAAATTTTGGTTTGAAAGAATTTGTTTTTCATTTAAAATAACAAATATTAAAAAAAAAAAAAGGCAAGATTTAAGCTTGCCACGCAGCAGTCATAGTTAATTAGGGGGTTTGAAAAGTATGTTTTTATTAAAAACAATTCAGAATTTCAACTTTATATTTAAAATAAACCATTTTATTGACATTATAATTTTTAATTAAATAAAGTAATAAGTTAAAATACATAATATTAAGGTAATAATGAAATTTAAAATTTTACAGCTATTGTACCACACCCCCGTTAATTACGTCATTCATCAACTGTAATATACTTTTGCAGTTTTAATCTTCACGAAAGCACTATGACCACATGTGGGCCACATATACCTTTCTTGTCGGGTAATGTGCTACAAGTATTATTGATAGAGTAATAAAACAATTTGTACATTATTATTTATTATTATTATTATTGTACATTATTATGTATTATTATTTATTATTATCATGTTTTTATTTTAATCATTATTATTGGGTGTTAATTATACTTACTGGTGATATTATTATTGTTATTCTTATTATTATACAATTAATTATATTTATTATTGTTGTTTTGTTAATTTATTGCTATTTTTATTATCACTATAACTATATGTGTCTATGATATGTTTTATATTATCAAAGAGGTTTTTACTTTAAATTAGTTTTTATAACTATTTGTAACGACCGTGGAAGTTAGATCTTTTTTTCCAGAATATATAATTGATTGAATTGATTGATTGATTGATTACAACTTTCACAGATTCAACATCAACTATTATTTAATTTGATAGAAAAAATCATAAAAGTTGCAATAATTTTTAAAAAACCGTTATTTAGAATTTGCCGAGTGGCTATCTAAATTTGCCGACTAACCTGTCCCAAGGGTCAACATATGCCAATTGAATTGTCAAAAGAGTCAAATTTGCCGACTAAATGAACGAAATGGTCATCGATGGGCTTTTTTTTTTTTTTTTTTTTTTTGCATTTACTCCCAACAAGGCTGCAAGCAACCACTATTAAGTTGGGAGTTACTAGGAAAAAAAAGAACAGAGTTATACAGCAAGAACACGGTTGACAGAAGACTTGAAAAGTTGAAGGTTGTATGAGTCAGGAAAACATGAAGATGGGAGAGAGTTCCAAAGGATTGAAGTGCGGGGAAAAAAACTAGATGAATAAAAGTTTTTAGAGCATGCAGGGACAGATACAGTAAACGAATGAGACTTAGCTGAATGACAAGTAAAATGAGAATGAATTTTAGTTCATGGAACTAGAGATGATAACTCCTTTCAGCAGTGACCATGATAGTATTTGTAGATAAGAGAAAGAGATGCAACTTTACGACGATGGGAAAGAGGCTCAAGATTAATAGATAGTCCAGGTCCAACAACATACACAATGCGTTTTTGGACCTTGTCAAGAAGAGAAAGTGAATCGTTAGAAGAACCAGCCCAGTGTTCCATACAGGGACGAATAGGAGGTTTGTGGAGGTACAGAATGGAATCAGAAGTAAGGAAATGGCGAGCACGATAAAGAGAAGCAACCTTAGCAGAAGCTAATTTAGCAATCGATTGTATATATGGTTTCCATGAAAGGTCAGTAGTAAGCGATAATCCAAGAAGACGTAAAGAGGACGACTCAGTAAGAGGATTGCCATTCATTAATATAGGAATGTTGACCATATTACAGTAGTTGTTTGCAGCAAACAACTGGGTTTTGTTAGAGTTGAAATTCACAAGCCACTGTGAACCCCAATCTATTACTAAAGTGAGATCGGATTCAAGATCAGCTGCTTGTTTTAGGCGATCGAAAAGAGAAGACTTTTTGTCAAGACAGGAGTATAAAATTGAGTCATCAGCAAAAAGAGCTACTTTAGATAAAAGGTTGTCAGGAAGATCGTTTATGTAGATAAGAAACAAAACAGGGCCCAGGATGGAACCTTGGGGAACCCCAGAAATTACTGGAAATAAAGAAGAGTGTTGGCCTTCAAGGATAATTTTAATAAACCGGTTAGAAAGAAATGATTTGATAATCTCAAAAACTTTCCCAGAAACACCTATGAAGCAAGCTTATGGAGAAGACCAGCATGCCAAACTTTGTCGAAAGCTTTAGATATGTTGAGAGCAATAGCCCTAGCCTCACCGCCTCCATCTAATGCACGATAAAATCTTTCAGTTACAGCAGTTAGCAAGTCGGCCGTAGAGCGAGAGGATCGAAAACCGTATTGATTGTCTGACAGTAGTTTATTTGACTCAAAATGAGATGTGAGGAATTTGTTGATCGAAGACTCAAAGACCTTGCTAATAACAGAAAGAAGACTGATCGGACGATAATTGGAGGGGTCAGAATTTTCTTCAGAGTTTTTGAATATTGGAACCACAGATGCCATTTTCCAACAAGCAGGAAAACAAGACTCAGTCAAACACTTGTTAAATAGTTTAGAGAGAATTGAAGAAAGTTCTGGAGAACAATTCTGCAAGACTGTGACAGGTATGTTGTCTGGACCACAAGCTGTAGACGAGTTTAATTGAGATATGAATTAAGCAACAGAAGCCGGAGTGATTTGTCGGAGCCGGAGTATCACCCCCTTCTTTGCGCAGGGCTTAAATACAGACAATCTAACCGTAATCTAAGCGTTAAAAGACAAACTGCATGATATTATTAATAAAAAATTAGCAAAAATTCCTCAAACTTTAGACATTGCCGAATTTATTTTATTTATTTAAAACTTTATTCATTAACAGTAGTTTATAAATAAATAAATCAAAGTAAACACAATAAACTGTATAGACAATACAAACAAACAAAAATATCGTAAAAATATCCATAAAAAATCAGTAACAACTAATATAACAACGTATTTAAATAAAATAATAACGTTTTTAAATAAAAACTAATATAATAACGTTTTTAAATAAAATAATAACGTTTTTAAATAAAAACTAATATAACAACGTTTTTAAATAAAATAACAACGTTTTTAAATAAAAACTAATAAAACAACGTTTTTAAATAAAATAATAACGTTTTTAAATAAAAACTAATATAACAACGTTTTTAAATAAAATAACAACGTTTTTAAATAAAAACTAATAAAACAACGTATTTAAATAAAATAACGTATTTAAATAAAAACTATAACAACGTATTTAAATAAAAACTAATATAACAACGTATTTAAATAAAATAACATGTATAAAAAATCTTAAAAAGAAAAAAAATGAATTTCATAAATATTGTAAAAAGAAAAAATAACTTTGCAAGTACTGCAAAAAGAACAAATAAATTTAAATATTCGTAAAAATGACGTGATTAGTAATAACAATAATACATAAATTTAAGTTTTACAAATTCTGAAAAAACATTTTCCTCCATTCCGATGTAAAATATTATTTTTGAACACATGTAGACTTTTTGAGCATATGGTTTTATTGTCAAGAGAATTCCAGAGCGAGGTGGCTCTATATAAGACATTATTTGTATTTTTATGATTAGAACCTTTGGGTGGTAGCCTTTGGGTGGCATCAATTTATTGCAACATCTAAGTTGAAATGGTAAAGTTTTCTTTATAAAGAGGCCCTTCATAAACTCAGGGTTTAAACCATTAGGGGATTTAAAAACTCCAATCATTAAAAATTGCAAATTTCAAAGATAGTTTCTTGGGTTATTATCTAATTTTAACATTTCATCCAGAGACAAATCAAATCTTTTATGGACTATGTGGAGTGCTTTTTTATGAATTTTATTTATAAGGTTGTCATTGTATTTTAAGCAAAACATCTAAATCAAAGGGTAGTAAAAATTTGATAAAATATAAGCGTTAAATAATAGAGTGACTTGTTTATAAGATAGAAAACGTCTTATTTGAAAAAGGGTAAAGCACTTACTATTAGCTTATCCGCATAAAACTTTAATGTGATCACCAAACGGTCATATAGTTAAAATTAAGCCATTTAATAGCGCTTATTGTTTTGTTTCACGATTGAAGAGTAACATTCTCTAAATTATTATCACAAACATAGAGAGTTATTGTCAGCAAAATTGCGAGTCTTAGATTCTTTAATAAATAGAAAAAGATCGTTTATAAATATATTAAAAAATATTGGCCAAAGGATTGATCCTTGAGGTACTCCTAATGAAACCCCTAACCACTCAATAAATGATGAACTCAATTTAACCCTTTGTTTACGATCGCTTAGATATGATAGTAAAAGTTAAAGGTTTTCATGAGATAAACCATTTAGCTATTAATAAATTAATAAAGTTTCCAATTTATCTACTAATAAATCATTAGGGATCAGGTTCTAAGCTTTTGAATCAACCATAAGCATAGAACCAATAATATCTCCTTTATGCAAGCATTTCTGCCATTTTTTCAGTAAAATTAAAAGCACATGCTGAGTGCCATAACCTCTACGAAAGCCAGACGACAGAATGTTTAATCTAGGCCCCGTATTTGCTCAAATATAATAAGCTCAAATACTTTTGAAAGAGCGATAAGAATACTTATTGGTTGATAATTTGACTTATCCATTGGGTCATCTTTCTTAAAACAAAGTATGAGATCAGCCATTTTTAAAAAAGAAGGAAATATCCCATCTGAAATGTTTTAAATATGCATCTTATAGTCTTACTGCAAGAATAAAGAATTAAAATGGTTCAATGAACAACATTCTAGAGGAAATCATCTTGAACAAATTTATGAAGATTTGTTTACGATAAAACAAACAAGTGTTGAATTAGAAAGAGTTATTTCCGCTGCCGTCATAATAATTTGTACCAAAATAAAGTTTGGATAAATAAATCACTAGATACCTTTATGTTTTTTAAAATTACTTTATGTTTTAAAATTACTTTATGTTTTTTAAAATTACTTAGGTTATTTAAAATTACTTTATGTTTTTTAAAATCGCATTTCGTTAACTTGATAAAGCAATTGACAATAGCTAAAAAATTGTTAGTTTGTTTTTTTTAATTTTGTTTTAAGTACCTGTAAAACATCGGTATTACTGTTATAGGAAAAAAGTAGTTAGGGGTATTACCAGTATTATTAAAACGCGGTATTTTGCGTTACCTTAAATATAAATATTGCCTCTTTTTGCTACTATAATAAATATTGCGGCAAAAAAAAAAAAAAATTAAATACCGTTTTTAGTAAAAATGTCATCAAACAAGCATGCTATTAAAATTTCTGAGAGCAGGTTCTCAATTTTAGATGATAACGATGATGATACTAGTGATAACGACAATAAGTCCAAAGATGTTGAAAAAAATAATATATCAAATACAGTTAAAAATGCAAAGAAAAAAGCGAGAAAGAAAAAAAAAGCTGCTGCTGAACATATCAGCACAAATGAAGTAATTTTTCTATTATTCATTTAAAACACACACACACACACACACACACACACACACACACACACACACACACACACACAAACACACAAACACACACACACACACACACACACACACACACACACACTATAAATCATTAACTAGTATTATTAATGTATTATGAATCATAATAGATTAATTACCTGTTGTAAACTGGAAAATTGTTATATCTTTACAACTATTCTGAGTAATTTTAAATAGTATTCATGAAAAGTATTTATGAGTACTCACAATTGCCATTTGCTTTTCCTTGCTTTGATACTTCTTTGGTATTAAAGTGTTTTAAAATTTTTTACTTTGTTTGGCATGCCTGCTTTATGTTCATTGTGACAGAGGCAGCTCTCTAATATCTAAAGAAGTTAGAAATTTCCTGCATACCTAAGGAGTTGGCACAAACAATTTAATAAAGAAATTAAAAAGTATAAATTTACAAGTCTTCCCAGAAAATTTATGCAGTTTTTCATCTTGTATGTCCACACATAATATTTTATTTTAGACAACTTGGTCACAGCTGTTTACAAGTTTTATTATGTTAAACTAAAGTTTCAAAAACAATAAAAGCAAAACTAACAAAATAGGCAATTATAATAAATACAAAGCTCAATCAATTGTGCTTATATTATATATATTACAATCCAGCACAAATTACATATATTTGTGCTGGATTGTAAAATATAATGAAATAACTTTTTATGACATTTTATCATACTATTTTATTATAAATTTTATGCTTTGTTAATTATTATTTAAATTTTCTATTGTAATCTAAGCAGCATGCTTAAATAAGTTAAAAATAATAACACCTCTAAACCTGAGTAGTTTAGAGGTGTTATTATTTCAACTTTTTTACCTATTAGGCTCTCACAATAGTTATTAGTTTTACAGCTTGTATTTTTAAATGTTGTTTGTAGGAGTGATGTTGGATGTTGTTCTTATTATCAGTTGCTGCTATATTGTTAACCAAACAAGATATTGTTTGTGGTGTATGAATAGCCTAAATTCGATTAAAGATTTGCCATTAAAGTTAAATTTAGTAGCTTGTATAATGAATCTCAAAATATTTTTCAAAACACAAAAACAAAAAAAACGAACCCCTGCATTTTTTCAAAAAAACAACAACAAACAAACAAAAAAGCATGAACCAAAAAAATGAGTCACATCTAGTTACAACCTTCTCTCAATGTTTTAACCCTTATCCGTCATGTCCTCATAAGTAAACATTGCAAAATAATATTATTTTATATAAATTTTTAATTATGTATAATTTTTTAAAATTATTTTAATGTTGAAACATCCAAATAAAAGATAACAATGTGTAGTTGTGAAAATATAAAGCTAAAGTTACAATATTATTATTTTGCAGTGTTTTCTTGTGGGAACGTTATTTGGAAAAAGGTTAACTTCAAAACATGAACCTTGATAAAGTAAAGTTGCTGGGCAGACATTCAAGTTGAGCGCAGTACTAATAGTGATGTATGGGATAAAACTCAGAACTTCACCACTACACCACTACCACATTTTATGCGATGATCATTTAAACATTACAATCTATAGACCAATATCTAATTTCTATGTTATTTGATTTTATATATATATATATATATATATATATATATATATATATATATATATATATATATATATATATATATATATAAATAATATATATATATATATATATATATATTTATATATATATATATATATATATAAATATATATATATGTATATATATATATATATATTTATATATATATATAAATATATATATATTTATATATATATATAAATATATATATATATATGCCTAAAATTTATTTTTGCGTTTCTCGTTATTCGTAATATAATTGTTATTTATCTAGTTTTCCTTGAACATCAGTTCTTTAGAATTTGCTTCCTTTCTTGTTTTTCTAATTCATATAATTTGCATTCTTTTAAGTTGTCTGTTAATCGTTATCTTGCTCTTTAAACTTCATCTTCTTTTTCCCAATAACTTCAAACTCTAATAGTGGTTGCAGCCTTTTTGGAAGTGAAGTTGTTGAAAAAAAAATCCATTTCCAAAATATCATACCCGATGTTTTGAAGTACAGTTTGCAGGAAGTAGCTCCTCCTTGTAATTACTCCAGGTCAAGTCAGGTTCAGGATCATTATAACCCTGCTACTGGTATTATGTAACCCAGTACCACCAGTCCCATATCCTGTTGCCTTAGTGTGTCTTGAGTGTGCTTTTTTAGGCAAAGGGTAGAATAAACAAACTCAGAATTAAAAATCCCCTGTCTTGCACAGCAGGTGTTAAGTGCATCCAGCTACTGTCTTGTAGGAGACCTCCTAGGCAAAGACTTTATGGGTAAGTAGAATAATTCTGCTAACCAGCCTTAAAACCCTTCTTCATCTCTTAGGCTAGCATAGATGTAAACCTGTGTTACATTGTTTCCTGCCTAGGATGACGAATGCTAGATCTTTTTGCCTCTTCTTATAGGTTTTTTCTTGTACCACCTTGATAGTGGCTATGCAACTTTTACTGTTATCTCCTAATGAGGGTATAGCTCTATCTATTAATGAGTCAAGTTCTCTTTAAACTTAAATTATGCCAAAAATAACCAAAAACATTAAACATAAAAACCATCCCTATCACCTAACTGTCTTAATATATTTTATACCAATATTCGTTTTCTGCAAAGCAAACTTTCGTCAGTTGAATCTTACCTATTGCAAAATTGTACAGATTTGCTTGCTCTTAATGAGACTAATTTAAATTTAGTTGATGGGTACTATTCTATGATTTGCAAAGACTTCAATAGTGACATGCTTGGCTTGGGGGTATACATACGTATCAATTCACCTATTTGTTGTGAAATAAGGTTCAAATCCTTAGACCATTCTATTATGTGCTTCTGCTTAGCACCTCTTCACTTTATCACCTTTCTCTTTGTTCTTTATCATTCTCCTTCTTCCCAAGATTGCACTCTTTTAGATGTAATTTCTGATCAAATTGACCACACTCTCTCTCTTTACCCTTCTGCCAATATTGTTGTTATTGGTGACTCATCATGCTGAATGGCTTGGCTCTAATGCCACTGACCCTAAGCTGGCACTAAAGCCTATAACTTATGCATTTCTCAATCTCTTACTAAGATAGTTAACTAAGTGACTCGTTTTCCTGACAACCCTCATCATGTTTCTTCACTCAGTTTCTCTTTTTTCTCCTTTAGATGGTTCTGACCATGCCCTCATGGTCGTCTGGTGGCATGGAACAGCTCATTTTCTCCAAGGGCAACTGAAATTTAAAAAAATGGCAGGGCAACCAAACAAATTTTTTACTTACAAAATTGTGTATTAATAAAACCATAATTTGATATATGAAGATTTTATTCCTTGGGATTATTTAAAAAAAAACTTTAAAAACCATATAATTAGTATACACTTTGTCAAATAATGATTAAACTCTGGTGCGTTATATAATTTTACTAAACTTAATATAAAGTAGTTGACATTTCAATTTAATATTTCGAAGTACGACTGTACTGTTTTTTTAAACGTTGTTGCTGCATTTTGAAGCAACAACATTTCCTCTCAATTTAAAATGAGTTTTAAAGTTATATTTCTTAATTCCAAATGCTAATTTATCATATTTTAAACCTTATAGTCACATGAATGGGCAGTTGAATAATTAATAACATTGATTCTCTTTTGTTTTTCATTATTAAAGTAAATTTTTATTTTAACTTTCCAAAACAAAATTAGCAAAATAAAATACATTGTTAAGATGCGCATGAAAAATCATTATTAGAATGTAACTAATGATGTGGAAAATCTTTTCTTAAAAAAAGAAGTATAATGATAAATATTTAAAACATTAAAAATATATTGTTTTAAACATTCAACTAAATTAAATTTATTTAAAGATGAAGAGGAAACAATAAAATATTTTTCTTTTTTTTAAAGTGTTTCGTTGCGGTTGTTTCTTTCAACTTTTTTGCTTCACGTAATCAAATTTGTTAAGATTGACAAAAAGAAATTACACGAAACATATATTTTGCTTCACGTAATGAAACCTTTGGTAAGATTGACAAAAAGAAACAACATGAAACATATATTGACTATGACTAAAAATTACAATCTTCAAAAGTTGTATTTTTTAGTTATCTCTTTATCAATATCTGATAGTAACTAAAGTTACTTAACAATATTTTTTAACTTGTTATAACATTTCACTTTTTTTTATTAATTAATTTACTTTTAATTAAACAGTTTCTTATTTGACATATTTTATTAATCAGATGTGTAAAATTTTTTTCTTCAGTATTTTCACCCGAGGAAAAATACCAATAAAAAACTATTATACCGGACTACTGATCATCATAGCGGGTAACTCAAATGAGAAATAACTATTTCAGTTGCTGCAGGGCAACCATGAAAAAACCGCAGAGTACACCCCTGCCATTACCTCTGATCATATTACCTCTTCCAAGGATAAGGCAGAACTGTTTGTAAAGAACTTTTCTTCTAATTCGGCTCTCAAATCTTATGGCCATTCTCATCCTTCCTTTTGAATTAAACAGTTAACCGATTGTTAGACATTCAAATCACTCCAGCTTTTGTTGCTAGATTAAACTCTTCTACAGCTTGTGATCCTGTCATAGTCTTTCAAAATTATTCTCCAGAACTCTCTCTTGAATTCTCTCTAAACTATTTAATAAGTACTTGACTGAGTCTTATTTTCCTGCCTGCTGGAAAATGGTGTCTGTTGTTCCAATTTTCAAAAGTTCTGGTGAACATTCCCATTTAAAAACTCTGGTGAACACCCCTCTAATTATTGTCCCATCAGTCATCTTTCTGTTATTAACAAGGTCTTTGTCTCTTTAATCAACAAACTTCTCACATCCCATCTTGAGTCAAATAACTTACTGTCAGATAATCAATACGGTTTTCGATCCTCTCGCACTACGGCTGACTTGCTAACTGCTGTTACTGAAAGATTTTGTTGTGTATTAGATGAAGGCGGGGAGGCTAGGTCTATTGCTCTTCTCCATAAGCTTGTTTCATATGGGAAAGTTTTTGAGATTATCAAGTCATTCCTTTCTAACTGCTTTATTAAAGTCATCTTTAAAGGCCAATACTCTTCAGTAACTTCTGGGGTACCTCAAGGTTCTATCCTTGGTCCTGTTTTGTTTTTTTATCTACTATAATGATCTTTCCGAAAACTTTACATCTAAAGTAGCTCTTTTTGCTGATGATTTAACTCTATACTTTTGTCTTGACAAAAAGTCTTCTCTTTTTGATTGCCTAGAACAGGCAGCCGATCTTGAATCTGATCTCACTTCTGTAACATATTGGGGCTCACAGTGGCTTGTAAATTTGAACTCCAACAAAACTCAGTTATTTACTGCGAACAACTATTGCTGTACTGTCGACATTCTTATATTAATGAATGACAACCCCCTCATTGAGTTCTCTTCATTACATGTTCTTTGATTATCGTTTATTACTGACCTTTCATGGAATGATACCATGATTACCGTATAAACAATTGATTGCTAAATTAGGATCTGCTAAGGTTACTTATCTTTATCATGCACATCATTTTCTCTCCTGATTCCATTCTATACCTCTAAAATCTCTTATTCATCCCTGTATGGAATACTGTTGTCATATTTGGGTTTGGTTTTCTAATGATGCTCTTTCTCTTCTAGACAAGGTCCAATAATGCATTGTAAATGTAGTTAGATTCGCTCTATATGCTAAGCTTGAGCCTCTTTCCTATCGTCGTAGTAAGTTACATCTTTCTCTTCTCTACAAATACTATCATGGTCGCTGTTCAAAGGAGCTATCATCTCTAGTTCTAGTTAAAACTCATTCTTTCTTGACTCTTCATTTAGCTAAATAGCAGTTCATTGCTTTGGAACTCTCTCCCATAAATGTACATCCCTTTGTTTAAAGAAAAATAAAAATGAAGTGAACTATATAAAACTTCACTTGGAAAAGTAATGTTAAATGTTTGAAAAGAATATTAAATTGTAGAGGTTTTATAATGAATATGTTTTTCGTTTTTTAGATTCGCAGTTTAGCATTTACTAAACCAGTATCAGCCAAAGCAATACAGACTTTTAATCAATTACATCATTCTTTACCTCCGAATCCCACAGTTATAACAAAACCTGCAACTGTATCTATTGACAATGTTAACCCTGATTGGGAACATTGGAAAGAAAAAGACAAAGAAGTAAGGATATTTTAGAAATTAATTTCTTTAGTAGCTTATTTTTGTTGTACTTTTTGGCTTTGTCACAAAACTTTTAAAAAATACAAGCTTTAATGTATATAAACACAAGATTTACTTTTTTTTTTTTGTTTTGTTTTTATTTTTAGTTGTTTAGTCATATTTACAGTTTTTTAATAAACTTTTTTTTTCGGTTTTGGGTTCCAAGCCTTCCCGGGAAGCGCATGCAGTCACATGCCTTGTTCGTCCACGTTTAAAGTAATTTTTTTAAATTACTTGCTTACAATATAAAAACTTGACCATTTTTATATTGCAAACGTTTTAAGAATTTGCAGCAAAATAAAGCTGTAAGAAACTAGAGAGTATAAAACAACAATACTTGAAGAAAGGAAATGAAGACTATACAAAAATAAAAAATCTAAATAAAATAAGATCAAAATGATAATATACCTAAATATTTTACAGTTTTTGGGTTTTTATTTTGAGAGTGTTTGCTATTTTCCACTACCAAAATTGATACAAGTCAAGGAAAAAAGCAAATAAGAATATAACGAAAATATATATTTTTTTGATATGCAACTTTTTTGCAACTTTTTTCAGTCAGTATATTAAGGAAATACTTTAATATTTGAGCTAGAAACATTGACAATTTTTAATTTTTTAATTTTGTATTTGCTGAATTTCACTGCTTTTATCAATGCACAAGAAAGGGAGACAACTAATTGCTATTTATTTGTAAAAGTTTTTTATGTAAAAAATAAAAGTCATTAATAATTATATTTAAATGTAAAATATTTAGTTGTTTTTAAATATATTTTTTCAATCAGAGCAATCGTTATATTCATTATCTTTTTTATTAATTATTAATTTGTATTAATATTGGAAATTTTTTTATTAATTATTAATTTGTATTAATATTGGAAATTGGGTAATATAAATAAACAATTTCAGACATGAATAAATGCAGTAAATACATTTATAAAAGAATCATGTTATTCTTTTATTTAATTTATTCTGTTATTTCAAAATTTATTACCAAATAAAATATTTTACAAACATTTTGCATATAAAAACTTTCAATTGTTGTTAAATTTTTATAAAAGATATGTTTTTTTCATAAATTTGTATCAAATTGTGTAGCTAAAAACAACAAACATAAAAACAACAAACACAAAATATAAAAAAGAATACAAAAGTTGTATAAAAATTTTATAATTTAAAAAAAAAAATATTTTTTTTAGTTATTAAATTTTTTAATTTCTTTAATTAAAACAACGCAAGCGGTTCCCAGAAAGGCTTGGAGTTCATACATTTTTATTTAACATTTATTACAGAGCTTGTTTTAAAGTGTTAAGCTGCCGGCAATTTATGTACGAATCGCGTATGCCTAGAGCAATTTTCATGAAGCAACTTTTGATATTTTTTTAACTTTTAAATTACTCTATTAAGCCATAAGATAAAAGAAGTAATTAATTTTATAATAAACCACTTTGACGATTATGTAAAAAAGTTTGAATGACAATTATGTTAGATGAAGCGCTACTTAATAATGAAAAAAACTAAAAGCGTTATTTACTAATTTAAAAAAATGAAAAACTACAAAAACTTAATCTTTATTAAGCTAATTATTTTATTGAACAGAAAATAAAATTGTTTATAATAACAATTGTTTTTTTTTTAATGGGAAGTTTTTAAAAAAATAAAAGAAAACATAAGAGAAATTAATTCAAAACTATATTAACAAAAATAAATAATTTTATTCTGATAAAAAAAAAAAAATTAAAAAATATATAATTAAGTTTTGATTTAAAAAGTATATTCAAGCCTATTTAAATTAAAGTCAATGCTTGGGTTTAACTTAACTGTCATATATATTTTTTAAATATTACTAAACACTATTCAATATTTGGATTTAATTTATTCTTAAAAGAAAATTAGCTCATTTTTATCGCAATTGTTTTTTCGGTTTTCTTTTCAAAACATTTTTTTATAACTCAAAATTAAATTTTTAATAAATGGCTGCATCAAAAATTTGCACAAAATGTAAGATAAACTTTTTTTTTATATTTGGCAAGTTAAATCGCGGCGATTATTTTTTAATAAATTTAAAAAAAATAATCTTTGCTTTCACAACAAAATCGTTTTTAAAATAATGAACTTTTAATAAATAAAAGTAGATAAATTAACGTAATTTTTTTATGTTACTCTTTAATTTTTTAAAAATAAAAAATCTTTTTTAGTTGCAATTTTTTTTTAATGATTAAAAAAAATGTGCAAATAAACTTTTTTTTAATGATTAAAAAATATGTTGAATTTTTTTTTTAAATTAACATATTATAATTCATTTATACAAATGTTGAGGAAAATAATTTTTTACATGAAAATTTTTATTTGAATTTAATATCAAATTAAATTATTTAATATAAAAAAATGAAAGAAATAAACATTTTATATTAATAAAAAACGAGTTAAACAATATGTAACTTGTTTTTCAGTAATCTTAATATTATTGCAGTAATTTGAAAAAGTTAGTCTTTAAAAAATAAAAAGATGAAGAGAATTTTATGACGTTAAATTCACATTAAGCTGATGCGTTAAGTATTTGTTATTTAAAACAAGGCCTGCATTATGTTTTCAGTTTGTTGTTGATCAGTTCCAAAAAGATCTTCAAACAGCATTGCGTTTAAGTGAAATTGAGATAAAGAATGCTAAGGTAAAACATAGTTTTTGTTATATTTTTTATATTTTCTTTTTTTGTATCATTTTCATTAGTTTTTGCAAAATTAGTCATATTTTCAATAATTTTGTAACCAAATGAGGCCTTTATCCCATTAAAATCTGGCTTTTTAAACAACCCTAGTGCCAAACTTAAAAATAGTATTATTAGTATTATAGTGTTATTAAGAAAATATATATTGATGGCTTGGGTTGGCAAACCCAACATGGATTGGCAACCGCAGGCTCATTTGCCTTGTTTATTGTTTATTACAGGAATTGTTGGAAATATATAAATATGCAAATAATATTTTAATAAGAATAATTATTTATTTCATAATAAAATAAAAGTAAGAAATATTTTGAAAAAACATGCAAAGTTTCTATAGTTCCAATAAAAGTAAACCTTTATAATTTTTGATTTGAATGATAATTTTTGATTTGAATAATAATTTTTGATTTGAATAATAATTATTGATTTAAATAGTAATTTTTTAAATACTTTAGTTTTTAATGTGTACTATCCCCTTTTACACTAATTTATTAGAAGATTTGGTTTTTCTTACTTTTTATAAGATTTTCTAAACAAACCTTTGAAATACCGTTCCATGCTTGTTGGATAGAAGTTTCAAGTTGTATTATATTATACTATCGAAAATTTCCATATATAGTTTGTGTTAATATTCCTTATAATTTTTCAATAGGGTTCAAGTTGGGGGAGAGTGATTGTCAATCCAAAACATGTATATATTTATTCTGGAACCACTGTTTTATACTTTTACATGCCGCATTATCTTGTTGGAAAATCCAGTTCTCAATAGGTAAACCTTCACTAAACTTGAGTAAAACCTTCAACTAAACTTGAGTAAAGCTCTTGGATGATACTTTTCTGACTAACCATACTTGGACCATACTTTTTTAACAAATCAACTGTCAATGGCCAAAACTACTTTGAGATGCTTAAAGAATTTTTTCACCTAGTATTAGTTCAAAAGCACTGTCAGACCAATCTATTTCTAACAAGAAGGAGCTCCTGTACCACAAAAATAATAACACTCTACTAACTAACTGCATTATAAAAGTAATAACAGTATAATAGTGCTATCACTTTTATAATGCACTTTTAACTTTTATAATTCATTCTTTGTTCAAACAACATAAGTAATCTCAAGTTTTATTTAAAGAAGAAAAGCATCTCGAAAAATAGATATTCAATGATTTGCCTAATCATAAAGACAAAGACACAAGCAAAACCCATGCAATCTAAATAATTATTAGATTTAGTTTAGTCAAGAAATTAGAATTAGGTTTAGTCAAGAAGATTTCTTCTTTTTTCCAATGAGAGACACCTTTTTGCGATGATTCTCAACAATATGAAGTACGACTTGTAACTGCTTTAGATCTTTTAGATCAAGCTGATCCAAGACTTTATTTTTAAAGTCTTGGATCAGCTTGACTCCTCGTTCAGCGCAGTCATTAACCACTTCTAAAAACTAGACTACTTTTTTAATATAGCTATAATCCTTCATCTTTGTCCTATGTTCAACAGGTAGTTGCAACCAATCCACTTGATTAGGTTTCATTTTGAGTAAATCAAACAGTAGCCAAAAATCTGACCCAATCAGTAACACAAAATCAGGAATTTTATTTAGTTCAATTTGTGGAAATATTGGTTTTCCAAGCTTGATTTGTTCATTTCTTTTGATGCTAAACAATTTCAAAGGTGCGGCAGAACGTTGGATTGCAGGAACAGACTCATCAAACAAGATAAGTACAACAAACTGTTGGGTTAAGAACCAAAGATGTCTGCAGCATGACTGAAGGGTAACATCCGCTTCTGTACTGTCAAATTCGCGATACCATTGCATGCCAGTGATGTACTGGCGATCAACATTTAATGCAATGATGAAAATTTGACTTTGCAAAAAAGCTTTTGCTTGGAACAATGCAATGAAATCTGCCATTCTCTTAAGCTTATAGCGTTGTTCCTGGTTGAGCTAGTTAATTTGTTTGTCCAACATTACATACTTAAAGAGGTATAGTTCAATGTGCATGAATCTAGCACTTTGATAAGCACCGGGTTTGGTAAACCAAAAAGTCTTTTCATCTTGTGAATCTCTGCCAAGATAAACAATTACCAGTTCAATAAGCTCCTGATAATCTTCTCTTGGAAATGTATTTTTTTTTGTAGATTTTATAAATAAAGTATTCAAATATAATTAATGTCAATGTATAGAGCTTGGTTTGACTTAAAAAATGAGGGGTCATTCAGCCTTTAAAGTTAAGCGGATCAAAGGTTATTGACCTTTTTGTAGTGAAAAAATGGGTGATTTTTTGACAAAAGGTATGGAAAATTTACTGCAAAATGGCACCGAAAATGAGAGTAATATTGACATTTGAATAACTTTTGAACCGATAATACATTTGACTTGAAATTTTCCATAATGACCAAACAACTATAAGGAAATAAAATTTTTTTAAAAAATCTGTTGTGATTGACAAAAATCATCCATTTTACAGACCTAGGGTTTTTACTAATTTATATATTTTTGGGATCATACTGACTTTTGAATAACTTTTGAATCGTTATTACATTTGACTTGAAATTTTTCATAGTGATTAAACAACTATAAGAAAATAAAAAACCAAAATTTTATTTTAAAAAATCTGTTGCCATTGTCCAGAATTATCTATTTTACAGCCTGAGGGGTTTTATATTATTTTCTTATTTTTTAAAGAATAAAATTTGGGGTCATATAATTATACCATGCGAATATGCATAAAGGAATCATGGAATCCAAAAGATACATCATTTGAAAATTATTGCATAATTTACAGACCTGTCAGTAAAATCATTGCATAAATTACAAACCGGTCAGTAAATTACAGAAAAAGGGATGTACAAACCAATTGGGCATATCGACCTTAAATATATTTGATATTTTTGAACCGTTAATAAATTTGACTTGAAATTTTAAATAGTGATCTAGTTTTTATTAAATCTGTTGAAATCATACAAAATCGTTTATTTTACAGACTGAAGTGTTTTTACTTATTTAATTATGTAATGAACAACAAAAGTTAGGGTTACAATATGCAAATATGCATAAAGTAATCATCATGGAATTTGACAAATCATTTTCAAATTATTGAATAATTTACAAACCAGTCAGTAAATTACTATAAAAGGTTTGCACAAACGTATTGGGCAGTTTGACTTTAAATATATTTGATAATTTCAAACTGTTATTACATTTGACTTGAAATTTTTGATAGGGGTACAAAACTATAATAAAATTAAATTCCATAATTTTTTTTGCATCTGTCAAAATTATCCAAAATTGTTAATTTTACAGACTGTAGTGTTTTTACTTATTTACATAGTCTTTTAGAAAAAAATTCAGGTTATATTATAAAAAATCCACGCTAATATGCATGAAGGATTGCGGAATCCAATTAATTCATCTGTTTAAAATTACTTCTTAATTTACAAGCCAATTAGTAAATCACTGCATAAAGGGCATTGAAATCTATCTGAATCATTCAGAATTACTTATTTAACAGAAAGAAGATTCTTTAATAAAGTTAAAATTTAAATTTGAATAAAGATAACTTACAGCAATAGAACTTCCTGAAATTTCGAGTACTTACAACAGCAGTAGCAGGTGTAACAGCAGAAACTCAAATTGTAATAAAATTACAAAAATGCAAATTATCAAAAACGCAGATACAATTTTTTGAAAATATTTGTTAATTCGTTTTAAAATTTAAAAATTAAAAAAAAAATAATAAACTAACAATTAAAACTAAATAAATACAAAATAAGAAACTTACTCTTTGAGAATGTTTATGTGAACTATTGACAACACCTAAGATAAAAAAAACAAAAACAACAAAAAAAACATTAAAACAAAAAATGTTGCTATTCTACAACTTATCTCTTGGCTTTTAGTAAATGATTAGAAGTAACAAGTTTCAATAAGGAAACAAACTAATAATGATTTTTAACAATAGACACCAGCGAGAAGGCAAGCCAAGTTGTCTATCAACACAAAACATCACAACAATAACATCACAATCACCAAACATACAGACCCTGTGGCACTAAACGCTGCAAATTCACACTAGTATCAATACTTAGCTGACAAGTTTAACTTCTATCCTCAGCCCTTTACTGTTTCTAACCAACATTAACGATCATCCTGAAAAGCTCACAGGTGATTGATGAATGGCAACATTTTTACTGTGTTCTACTTTACATCGTCTCTGATTATCTTTTTCTACTGTCCTCTCATGGAAACCTTATATACAAACTATTGCTAATTTAGTATTTGTATTCGATAATATAATCATAAAGTAAATAACAGTTTTTTGCAATACTCTCCATTCATCTTGTTTTCCTAATTCATATAACTTGCAATCTTTTTAGTCATCTGTTAATCGTTACATCCTTCATCTTGGGTCTTCCAGTAACTACCAAATCTAAAAGTGGTTGTTTCCAGCCTTGTTGGAAATATAGATAGTTATAATAAAAAGTTAATCTTGCATGATTTAACAATGTTGATGATTTGCTACCTTCTGTTAATTGTTCTATCCCTACTTCTAGCCAAACATCTTCTGGAACAAATTCTAGAGAATTTGTTTAAGAAAATGTTTTTGCTTCTAAAAGTTTACCTTCTGATTTAAACTTGAAAACTGCTGATGTTTTTTCAGGCTCTGTTACTCAAACTTCTATTGTAGAAAAGTCTTTATCAAGTTATTCTGATGATTGTCTTATTGAAACTCAAGTTTATGAATAGAATCTCCCAGTTTTCAATTTGGATCACCAACTAACTTTATTATCTGGTGATTTGATTAATCTCCTGATTTTTCCTGAATTAATCTCCCTTATTTTCAAAATAGACAAAGTAATAGAAGATGTAATAAATATAAAATTAAATTCAAGCAGTCTTGCCAAATTAAAATATTCATAAATGTCAACAAAACAGATGTTAGAAA